AAGATGCATATTTTTTCCAGTCTGCAGTTTGTAAATTTTAGCTATTTAACACTGATCTCAATAATAATTATTTAAGTATATTAAGTTACACGAGTTTTAATGTCTTCAATTTGCAATACATCAAAAGACGCATTTGTATGTAGCGTCATACCAAGGATATACACAAAACTAAATTAATAACTGCATGCTGGTACTAGAGTAGTATTATAATAACCATGTGTAGTCTAATCAAAGTATTGGGTATATAACTCACAAACAGTTCATAAAAGTTCTCTGTGAAAAGTTATCAGACATTTTGAGGCTCCTGTGTCTGATATTTTGTATATTATACTGTATGTAAATCGTCTTTTCAAAACCTGGATCATTTATTGATTAACACAAGATATTCCCATAAGAAAACAAAAGCTTCTTCGAATGAAATACTCTGTAGTACATTGGGGAATATAGTAGGTATTTGAAGTAGTAAGATCAGTTTGAAATGAAACAAGCATTCTCGGAGTATTGCATTAGCAATACTAGTCCCCTACTGGCAAGTGTAATCTGGTTCCCGTTAAAAATTGAAAATGTCACAATTCCGTCAAAAATCATTGCACTAGTACGAAATGCAAACTTGATCTATAAGTAATCAAGGTAAAGTCACATACCAAAAATCAGCTCAATATCTCCAAGCGTTTAGAAAAAAAAATGCGGAAAACCCTTAAAAATTGGAATGGTCGTAATTCCGTCAAAAATCAATGAACCGGAACGAAATGCAAACTTGATCTGTAACTCATGAAGATACACCCACATACCAAAAATCAGCTCAATATCTGCAAGCGTTTAGGAAAAAAGTGCGGAAAACCAAGTGGGACAGACTGACAGACAGACAGGGGGACAGACGGACATACAGACAGACGGACGGACAGACTCAGAGGAAACCTATAGTCCCCTCCGGTTTCACCGGTAGGGGACTAATAAAATTACTCAAAAGGAAAATGCGGTTGTGAATTTTCATTTGAACTTTACAGAAAATAAAGCAGATGTTGGAGATAGAAATAATGCTAAAATTGATATTAATTTATTTCTAGCGTCATTTAGAATAAGTTTAATATTTATACAGGATTACATATATGTAGTGGATAACATTGTAATTACATTTTGTTTCACTAAAAGTTTCCAATTCTATAATATACATAAAGCAATGCAATATATAATATACACCTGTCAGTGCAATGTTCTGTTTCAAATTAAGTATTGGATATGAAATTTAGGTCATACTCTGCTAATTGTTAAATAATCCTTTTTTCTTCTTTTGTTAAAGCAACTGTCCAATTTTTAAGGATATCAATACTGAGACAGTCTGGTATTACAATTAGTATCAGATTGATGTTAATGTTAGACAGTTGCTCACTTAGATGGAACTGTCAAAGATAAATTTTTAGACTAAATGAACAAAGAAATGACGTCTCAGCAATGTTTTTAAGAATCGTTGCAATACTTTATATCCAAGGTGTACTTGTACTTACAGCTTCATTTGGCCAAGCTTGTCTCACTGTCAATTTATTTCCACATATTTCAGGAAGCTCTTTCAAATGTTTATTGAAGTCTTTTCCAATGGACATTTTAAATTACTGTTACACATAGTACTGAGTCTGAATTTTTGAGTCATGCTCAATTCACCAACTGCAATTTTTAAAAATTTATCTCGGGAACCCTTTTCCTTTAAAACGTTTCTTGAGTGATTTTTCATTGCATGCATGGGGAAAAGTTTTTATTTTTCTCGCTCTGTATACTGTTATCATCAATCAAACTGAATGACTGCAGGAAGTTATATACTGAAACGTGATCTGTTCCTGTTTCCTCTTTTCGAGATACTAGTATACATTTATACATATATTGATCAAACCCTATATGATTGAAAAAGGGTGAGAAGAAAACAGGTAGTGCGACTTTAAAAAATTACAGTACCAAAATCATTTAAGTCTGAAGTTTCACTCAAGACCTTTTGACTTCAAAAACATTATTTTCTCTGGGATTCTGCATAATTTTACAGGAAGACAACTTTCTTACAGCATGTAGCTAAAAGATATAAGTATTAACTTATAAACAAATCGTGCACTATTTTCATTCCACACTCTCATCATTCCTCCTACAATTTCTTATAAATCCAAATACATTCACGTTGATAGAGTTGGTAGACTCCCAGTTCTATTCTGTTGGAAAAGTTAAGCTTGATTAAAATATCAGATGATTACTTAAAAGATATTAGGTATAAACAAGTTGCAGTGATATTAAGATTAGAACACCCATACGTAATGACGTCAGTTGGCTAAATTCCTTGTAGAACTTCGGAGTTTGATAGATTTAAACATTTCTTGACGGAACTGATACACCTGTTCTAATTTTGTTGATTTTTCTATGATAGAAAATTTGCAAAAATTTGAAATAAGTAGTAATGATATTTTGTAATTTTGCTAAGCATAAACAGAGAAAGATAAAACAAAAACTGCAACTACAACAAAAGAGAAAAATAAGAACAGGCCTGGAGGTTATAAATTTTTTTGAGTTCATACTCCGTGCTCAAACTCATACTCCGTTCTCCGATACCATAAACATACTCAAAATTTATATACAACTTAGAGTGAAATTTTGGAGTATGAGTATGGTTTTGGGGTACGTAGTATGAGTTTGAGCACGAAGTACGTACTCAAAAAGTTTTATAATCTCCAGGCCAGAAGCAAAACAATCAAAAAGAACAAACGCAGAACAAACAAATTACATTTATTTTATTTTTAGCGAAAAGAACTGAAGACTAAGATTTACTGAAATCTTTAATGAAAATATCTTTGAATAAGCCTCAGGGCTCAGTCGCACCTTACCGGATAGTACTAACGGATGGCAAAATTTTCATCCATTGGTCTCCGTTTGCATACGTTTCTTGTCCGTTTCTTATTGGTGAATACGGTCAACGTCTGATGAAGTTCGTTTTATCCGGAAAAAAGTTTTGAACATGTTCAAAACTTGGGACGGACACCACCGGACTAAGGTGTCCGCTTTAAGTACAGCGAGTGCTTAAGAGTACGGGAGGTATCCGTTTGCTTGCGTTTTTGTATGGAACTTTTGCGCTTCTTTTCCTGTACTTGTCCGTTCTTCTTATGTTGATGTCCATACGACTGGACAATTACTTGTTTCGAAAGGGACAAACAACGTGGTCCGGACACTGACCATATGTCCTTTCGTTGATCGTTTTGTCTGTTTTTCATGCGTTGCACATTCGTTTTACTCGGTGCTCATTCGTTACGGGAACGGTGAAGTCCGCTGGTTGACCGTTGCTTGTACAGTACATGTCCGATAATCGTTCGTTTTTTTTTTTCCTGTTTTACACGTTTCGTATTTCGTACGTTGATTACAAGAGCCTTAAAATGTGACGAGAGACGATTTACAGCAACTTATTACCCACGAAATGCGTTCTCTCTCCATTTCTTCATCCGTTTTACATTCGTTAGTGCGATCCGGTAAGGTGTGACTGGGACCCAAGATTGTGCATATAACTTGCATTTTTCTATGTTTATTTTGCCTATAAAGTGTAATGCGTCAACATTCCTTCTCAAGTAAGCCCCGTCAAAGCTGCGTCATTTCTGACTCGCTTTATGCAAAATACGTCTCATTTTGTGGCAATTTACTTTCAGAACCTCTCGATGTGACAATAATAAATGGTTAAACGTTAAAAAAAAGATAACTCATCTTTCTTTGAAATTAGCACAAAGAGACCACCCTTGACTACTGCAACGGGGTGCATTGTTCTGAAATTCTAAAACCCAAGTGAAATATTCCTGTGTTTTCTCTAAAAGATTTAATTAGAAATTCTTCGATACAGACTCAATTTTTTTAAATTGTATTCTCACACGATTTCTACCAGACAGACTCTTTGTTATCTGCTAATTCTCAATTCAACATTTACATTCCGGAATTGACCAAAGTGGAAAGAGGGTCTACGAACAGTTGAAGGAGGCATTTATTCTTCGAACCAAACCATACAGCGGCTTTTTATTAGAATTTCTAGTGAATATCAATAACCCTTTTTTCTAATTCAATATCGTTGATTACCTAATTAACTTCTGTGTTATGAATGACATCAAAGGAGGTCTATTTTCATAAAAATTGTATGTCGATGAATTGAACCGTATCTCCATTCATTAAGAGGATAAAAGAAAGGGATAAAGAAATTGCAACAGTACAGTGCATGTTCGGTCATATTGAAATTAATTTCCTTTTGGTATAAAGACTAAGGATTCACCAGCAAACTGTTGTGGCTATTGAGTTATTGATTTCGGGAAAAATGTTAAAGTCGACATATTTGTACTTTGCATCTCATCTATAGGGAGAAAAAAGTCCAGTACAGGAAATTCAAAATGCGATAATCGCGACCGATGCCAATGAAGATGAAATAAGTGGTTTTCATTGTTATGAGGCTGAAGCAAGTCTCGCGTTAAAATACCATAACTTATTGAAGTCTGTCGATAAAAACGAGATTTTGCAGCCAGAGGATAAATAATGCTAAACGATGACATATCAGTGAAAATGATTTCAGATGTCGGCAGCTTAATGAGAGCAATGTAAAATGCAACACTTTTAGGATTACGAGGAAATAAGTCTGATAATGAACACGTTTTGCCAAATCTTTACTGTTTGGATACACGAAGACATCAAAGTGGAAAACAGATCATTATTGCGCAGTTATGATTATTTTAACAACTTTATACTAATAAAATGTATATACTCTACTTAAGATAGAAATCCATTTTTTTTACTTTAAAAAAAATACTATTTCGTCAAAACTCCTACCCAAAATAATAAGGTTAAGTTGGAAACATCCGGAATTATGAGAAAAGAGGTAGTTAATGTCACAATCTATTCATCTCTGGCTATTAATAGAAGACATGGATATAATAAAATTATATCTAAAGTTTTGGACTCCCAAAAAAGCTATATTTATTGGATGCAAAAATCATTATATCTACCTTATTTTTGGAATCGCATTTCTTTTTCTTCCGCCTTTTTGATGAACTATTTCTACTTAAACTTCCACTAGTGACAGAACTTTCCCTGGAATGTTGCTGTCGGTATGCTGACGACTTCTGGTTTCCAGGAACACCACCATGTGCAACAGTATCCAGGGTCATGTAACTATAAGCGACACTTGTCATCTTATTCTTTGCGCAGTTCACAAAATCATCAAATATCAACATACTATTTCGCAGCTTTAGGCACCATTGAACAAACAGGAACCACTATCACTCAAATTCATTCACTCGTATTCTATGTAATTCCAGTACTAAATCTAAAATGGAAGAAGTGCAACAGTAGTTAATTAAACTACGAAGCTCTTAATCACTACATATCCATGATAGTATATTTTTCAGCGAAAAGAAAAGTAATCAAAAAATCGTATATGAAAGTAATTATCTACAAATATCAACAATGTTTAACCAACAATATAGCGCACTGCATAATTTCTGTCAAATGGCATCAAAAGTTCAAATAAGCGGCAATGGTTGTGATGAAGGGAAACCTGCAGAAGCTGTTTTTACTGATAACATATGTCAAACAAATCGTGCTATTATTAGAATAGCGTGTAATAGAGATCCTGGCAGAATCTACAAAAATAGCCGCAGTTGGGGGAGTGTTACCATGGATACAAGGACGCCAAGACGTTTTTGCAGGAACTGTCTAAACCTTGACCGAAAGGTCGCACTCCAGATGAAATTAACATTGACGTTTATTGCAGCAGCTTTTTACAAAAATCAATTCCCTGCAAACGATAAATTCGTTATTACCTCCGATTTCATTATCAACAAATTTGACATTTTGTTATTTTGCCCATCTTATCTTTTTATGAGGTGAGATGGTGTAGTTGTCTGAAATTTATTACATGTAGCTATTTCCTGAATGCGTGCACTCTGTGCTGGCTGTAGGCTGGTCTTTATGCAGTCTTTGTACTACAATGTTATCATGCAAACCGTTTCACATTATCTTTCCGTTCAGTTACAAAATAATTTTAAACACCTCGTTATTAAAACATATTTTTCGCTGAATAAAAGTTTTTTGTCTAGACCCTGAAGAGATAACGTGCATAATTTCACGAAATTCTTCACGGCAATATAGAAAAACAAATTGTGAGAGAATTTTACATTCTGGCAAATTTGTAGAAAAGACAATTTATGCATCTTTTAATCGACAGAAGCAAATATACACGTCGTTGAAGCCCTGCTAGTTATTTATGATTGTAAGACGCCATCTGATCGGTGTCGGCAGATACCTGGGATGCCTTGATCTTTGTGTAATTCGCTTATAGCCTCTCAATGTGTGTTGTACAAGATGCTGTAATACAAAGATAATCCACTTTCTTTTTTAAGCCTTTCCTTTGTGCAGAAGTGGAGTGATATGGAAGTGTGTAGAAAATAAGCATCTTATTAAGCATTCCTTCTTGCATTTACTAGTACTACAAAGGATATTTGTTACAATGTCAAAGTTCAATGTTCATTCTGTGAAAGCTTTCTGAGAAATGGTTCAAGTCGCAGCGTAGTGTAGCAAAACAAAAATATAAACTGTAATAAAAATTACAGTTAGTCATGATAGTGTTGAATATCAATGCCCAAAGACAAGTTTATATTCCGATCAACAATTATACTTATATTTCAAATTTACATTATTTTGATAATTTCCTATATTTTTTAACCAAAATATATTATAAGGTATACCGGTAATCGATTTTTGCTTGTAGAATGATCACCTCTTGACTTTATTCTAAAGTACCTTCAGAACAATTTTGAGATCAAATTTTGGCAAACCGACATGACGATGAATGTGTCTTCTGGCTCCGGGGCCATAAAACCGAGCTAACTTTTGATCTTAGTCTCACTTTTACAAAGGGAATATATAGTGGAAAAGTGAGACTGCGATCAAAAGTGAGCTCGTCTCAGTTTTATGGCCCCGGAGCCTGATTTGTGAACAGCTAAGTTTAATCTTTTTTAGTTAAAAAATTACTGTGCAATTAAACAATCAAAGTTATCATTAAATACTTCAGTATTTTAAATTAATTTTTAATATAGACGGGTAAGGTTGAAATTATTCAAGTTTTTAAAATGTAAATCATATACGGGACCAATATACAATTTTACAATTATACAATATACAAAATACAATGATTTGTTTCAGTTTTTATAAACTTGGTTCCCATCTGATGTGATGTTACCCTATGAATCATTGGGGGAGGGGGGGGGGGTATTTGTTCATTTTTGAATATTCCCAACAAAATATAATCAAATAATATCGAAACCTCTTTCTTACAATTTAGTAAATTAGATAAAGAATTTTATTTTCTCTTAAAAATTATCCAGAGGTTTTCCAGAATAACGTTTTCCTAGAACAAACTACAGAATTTTGACTAAGATATGAAATGATTTTATACTCCATTACGTTTTTCACAGGTAAGTGTAATGTAAGATTGTTTTTAAATGTTACTACAAGTACTTTCTTCAGTATAACACGCTGCTATCACCTCAACAAGTCCATTCGATCGACTTTGAATTGAATTATAGTGATGTTCAACCTCTACTAATCTGTCTTAAATCTACTAGTTTTATACCTGGGGATCAAAGATTAAACTTAATGCCGTGTCCATTTTTAGCAACAGTCATTCTAAGCCTATCACAGCGGAACCTGTTACACCAGAAAGTTAAAAGGCGGCCTTGTCCTGAAATAAACGCCATTCATTTGAGGATACTTGCAATTTGTACTGCGGCATTGCTGAAGTTAACCGTAACTTTAACTATTAAGTCCATTGTATAAAAAAATATTGTACATTTAGTAGATCTTTGAATTATAACATGCAAAGTTTCTAAGGGAAAACAAGTTGACATAAATTTAGATCGTTTTCAAGTAACTGATATAGGATAGTTTTAGTTTATTAAAACGAAAAGGAATAAATAGGCGTTTGAAGGGAAGATATCACTTTTGTAAAAATTAGCAATAGAATCTTATCAGTCTGTGTTTACTTTTCCCAATTTGATACTATTAGTTTAAAAAAATTCCTTCCCAAGAGCGAACTGCATTTTTTTTTTCAAAATGAATTAATTTCAAAGTATATTGCATTTTGCAAAGAAATGTAGAAAAACATTATTTTACTTTGTGTAATTTAAAGTACATCGAAAAAACCCGTCACTATTTTAAACTATGTACATTACAAGACCCATTCATACAAAGGCGTGGTGAATGGGCGTCTCTTGTGGCCTAATCTTAGTAAACATGATCTAGATAATAAACAATTGTTGGACTACCTTTCCCCCTTCTTATCTTTTCCGGGGGAAAGCAAGGCAAACTTTTACCGATTAATATCAAGCGATTCATTCCAAAATTGGGATTGGATCACTTAAAAGTCACCCGAAAAACTTAACGCGAGTTGGTACAAGAATGACGGGATCTTTTTGTAGATGCATTGACTCTTATCATAATGGAAGCATCAATCACAGAAAATGGTCCACGTTGTATAGTTTAAGGGTTAACAATTTCACGTGAATTAAAACAGTTTTCTTTCATGAGCAGGTAAGTGTTTTTCAAATTTATCGGGTAAAAAATTAATGTCACTTTAAAAATTTAGAAAAATGACTAAAATCTTTTCAAATTAATTTTTTTTTTTTCGTCAAAATATAGATAATAAAAATAATTGAAAATTATAACTCTTCGTACTATAACTTATATTTGTTTATGAAAATGTTGCATATTCCAGACATCTTTAATCATCTTGAAATAAAATTAAATTTTTTTAAGAGGTAAATTTTAAAATTTTTGCTAAGTATTGATTTTAAGACGAAAGAGCTTATGACAAGTTCAACAAAATCAACAGTGACAAATACGAAATAACAATCGAATTTTGTATTTTCAGGGTGATGCTATGATAGAAGGATGCATGTTAATATAATTGTTTGGTTGATCCTTGCATTAGTTTCACTTAGAATGCAACAAAATAGCAGTGTTTCTGCCATGTCTTCGACCATAAAAGGAACTCTGGTTCTAGCTGGGAATGGTGATAATAGATTAAATGTCAGAGGTTCAGTGAGAAGTTATAATGCCAAAACAATGCATACAGAAGCTAAAAACTTGCACGCGTCAAAAAACAAAGGCTTTTTCATGTTTTCTTCGACACTTACACAATCCAAAGACACTTCTTCGGAAGTAACAAAAATAACTAATTCGGTGACACCAATCTCCCAAACAGATAGTGTAACTAGTGATATTACAAATAGTATCCAAACAAAAAGTGTGCAATCTAACACGAACAGAACAACAGAGGGAAGTGAAGGACCCTTCAAAGAACAGAAAACATCCATAGCGCAAATTCAGACCACGGAAATGGGATCTGTAGTACCTTCAATAACGAAGGACTTATCAAAGAAACCGACAGACGTATTGAATCAAATAAACACATCACGCTTTATGATCCCCTCAACAACGACGTTACGTGTACCTTATTCCTCTCCATCTTCTGTATCTTCGATTAAAAACACATCGACAGGAGCTATAAAGCCTTCAAAAACAATATCAGGGACAAACCTATCAAATAAAAAAACAAATGATATACCAGTTAGCAGCACGTTATTGATCTCAATAGCGGAAACGTCAACGAAACAAACGGACATCACTACAAATCAAAACAAGAAAACAACAGAAAATTATTCGAATGACGTGACCTCTCAAGATTTTACGGAACAGAAATCAAACTTTGAGACGTCAACAATCGGAATCACATCTTTGCCATCCACAGTAATGAAATCCTCAATACAACATTCAATACATAACTTGTCTTCGGAACCAAAATCAATAACTTCCATAACAGAAATACGAAATGAGTCTGGCGTAAGCGTAACACAGCCATCATGGGAAGCTTCTAGATCAACGATATATAAAAATAGAAATACTCAACAAACCTTTTCAAGTTTGCTTGGAAATAAAGACAAAACAAAGCAGGTACGTCCAGCAACTCAAACTTTGTCTCCCTCTGACAGATACTTAACTTCTAATAGCGAAGAGCGAACAGCTGCTTCGAGTCCACCAAACTACATCACAACCGCAACAACATCCAATCCTTCAGCAGTAGAAACATCAACCTCTCCAACAAAAAATACAATATTGACCTCAGTAGAAATGGACAAATCTACATTTTATGAGTCAAAAACACAGGAAACAACTGTGAAAGTATCAACTTCGCCTAATCCGACCCTGATGCCCACAATATCCACATGGGACTCAACACGAGAAGTGAATTCAGTAATTCAACACCAAACTTCTCTAACCAAAATGTCAACTATCAACGACTACACACTATCAACAAGAAAACAAGGTAATATTTCTTCCTCTAAAAAAATCCAATTAATTACGAATCAGCAATCAACAATAGAGGTAACGAATGATTCATCGGTAGAATCATCTACAACTGGCAATGAAAAATCCACAACGGCAGCGTTAGTTCATGGATCAAAATCACCTGTTACGGACCAAAGTTTATCATCAAAGAAGTTACCTGTCGCGAGCACATCTGTCAATTCACCCTTACCTTCCAAAAATTCAATGTCAACTAAACTCATTTCAACAACATCGACGGGGAAGAAACAAACAAACGTAATTGACTCAACAGGTGGAAAAACTGTTCTTGTCAACACCCAATCATCATCGATCGATAAAATTTCTTTTTCACATTTTGCGCGCACTACTCTTCCTACTAACTTATCAACAGACTATAACAGTAACCGCACAAATGAATCTACAACAATCGACGAGTATGCAACAACTCGTACGAAAATGACATCTGCAGACATATCAAGTATACAACAAACACATGCACAGGAGACGTCAACTTCTGTCATAACTTCTGAGGCATTCTTTTCTACATCCAATTTGCCTATCTCTTTCTCTAAAACGAATTTGATGCCAACTATGGATACCTCAACAAAATCAACAACAGGGCAACAAATATCGAATTCACAAAGTTCGACGCCGTTCGAATCAAGTATAGTTCCCTTTTCAACCCATAGAACCACTCAGATGCGATTAACAAAGAGCACAAATAAAGAGTCGTCAAGGCCAGAGAAACTTACCTCTGTTGGTACAACAAATAAAGCAACATCGATAGAAACTTCAGTTATTCACAAGCACCAATCACAATCGACTGCTGGTGTAATCCTATCAAACTTAACGTCAAGTGGAATTAAATATACAAAGAATTTCTCCACAAAAACTGAAGAAAACTATTCAACAACACAAGTTAATACTTCATCTAACACATTCCAGTCTGCAACAGCAATACCTTCAGAACAGACATCCTCCTCAGTTGTTGAAATGTCATCTCCTGGTATGACAACAAAGGAGGGATATTCAACAACAGAAGTTAAAAATTCACCGAAAACATTCCAGTCAGCAACAACAATACCTTCAGAACAGACAACATCCTCAGTTGTTGAATTGTCAACTCCTAGTATGTCCACAAGGAATGGATATTCAACAACAGAAGTGAAAAGTTCAACTAACACATTCCATTTAGCAACAAAAATACCTTCAGAACAGACAACCTCCACAGCTGTTGAATTATCATCTCCTGGTATGACCACAAAGGAGGGATATTTAACAACACACGTTAAAAGTTCAACTAACACATTCCAGTCAGCAACAACAATACCTTCAGAACAGACATCCTCCTCAGTTGTTGAATTTTCTTCTCCTGGTATGACAACGAAGGAGGGATATTCTACAACAGAAGTTATAAGTTCATCGAACACATTCCAGTCAGCAACAACAATACCTTCAGAACAGACAACATCCTCAGCTGTTGAATTGTCAACTCCTAGTATGTCCACAAGGAATGGATATTCAACAACAGGAGTGAAAAGTTCAACTAACACATTCCAGTCAGCAACAACAATACCTTCAGAACAGACAACCTCCACAGCTGTTGAATTATCATCTCCTGGTATGACAACAAAGGAGGGATATCCAACAACACACGTTAAAAGTTCAACTAACACATTCCAGTCAGCAACAACAATACCTTCAGAACAGACGTCCTCCTCAGTTGTTAAATTGTCTTCTCCTGGTATGACAACAAAGGAGGGATATTCAACAACAGAAGTTAAAAGTTCACCTAACACATTCCAGTCAGCAGCAACTATTTCTTCAGGACAAACAACCTCCTCAGTTGTCGAATTGCCATCTCCTGGTATGACCACACAAGCTTCTCTTACAGGTGTAACGAGCGTATTTCTCTCACATGATTCATCAACAACTGAAGAGTCATCTGAATTGGTAAATGATAACATAACAATATCCACAGATAAAGCAATCATTTCCACATCAACAACCCAAAACAATGCTTTGGTTCCATCAACAGAAGAGAAATCAACGTCATCAACTGATGAAAGTACATTATTCACAACATTGTTAGGTATTGAGTCTTCAACAACCGGGAACTTCTCAGTAAACACGTGGTTTGTGACATTACCAGAAACATCAAATGCACAAAGAACACAAGACATTACAAATGATAATACAGTCAGTCAGGAATTGCATTCCTCAACCAGAATACCTGTACATATCACAGCACCCCTTTTAACCGAGGAAACCTCTACAGAATCAACAGAGGAAACATTAAACAATCATTCAATAACTAATACGATAGATAATGCCACAACTTCAACATTTCACTCACCTTCAACATCACAGCCAGTCAAATCAACAGAAATTCAGTATTCAACGACACATTTAATCCATATGGCATCAGTTGAAAGCACTGATGAGGAATCGTCAATATCAGAGAAAAATAATTTTGCAGTTACTACAGATCAAGCTTTATCTGTAGCATCTTCCATTACAACTACACAAGAACCACTATTAACTTCCACTTCCAGTGAAATTCTATATACATCACCAACAACATATGAAGAAGGAACGACAGAAAATAAATTGACAGAGAGGTCATCCACAAAAGTAGATTCAACAAGGGAAGGTAACAGCTTAACAACAGCAGTTCAATCAGCAAAAACAGATTCTGAACATACAGCTTTTCCTACTGACGAATTTTCTAGTATGACTGCACAAACTTATTTCACAGAAACAAACAATGTATCAACAACTAACGAATCGTCAGGATCGACAGAAAGTCAGACTACAATAACCCCAAACCAACCAATTGCAACGAAAGTAGTTACATTACCTAACACTCAATTGACAGATTCAACAGGTGAAGAAACAACAATGTTCGAAATGTCGTCAACAGCTGGAACTGTTTCAGTAAATACATTATCACGTACGGAAGAACCTAACACTGAATCTTCATCAATAACAATTGACATTTCGACATCAGAGACCCGAGAAACGAATCCTTTAGAAAACCAGTTCACCACAGATCATACGAAAGAGACATCTACAGTCAAACAATCACCTAATGTCCATACTAACCATCCAGTACATACTTCGACAATAAATGGACCGGAAAATTCAATAACCACTGAGGAATTATCAATATTCCATACAACAGAAACTACGCCTTCTCAACAAAAAACGATAAGAACCACAGACAATGTGTTCGGCGAAACTACTATGGAGTTTTCAGTAACTCGTGAGTCAACAAAACCAAGAGCTAGTTCAGCTATTTATTCGTCTTCAGAGACAATCACCAGCTCGTTGAATGAAACAGATACCACTTTGGTTACGACCCCGATGCAGTATTCAAGTGTTTCCAGAGAGTCAACTCAAAATTTAGCAAAGGAGACATCTATGCAGCCTCCTGTCGGTGAACATTTAACAACGATGAAATCAGAAAAAGAAGAACTTGAAATAACGACTGAAGATATAAACACTGAAGCGACAACGATTCATAAAGAGACAGACTATTCTTCAGTAACTGATTTAACTCCCCAAAAGATTTCAGCATTCGTATCCAATCAACCAACGGCAGAAAACACAAATTCTACGGCAACAATTCCTCCGTCAGCATCAACAAATATCACTAATGAATCAATACATGAAAGAATTACAGTCTCAAATTCAAAGACTTATTCAACAACTGAGACGGAGAACTCAACAGTGATAGGAAACTCTTATACATATACAACATCCCACGATTTATCTCACAGCACATCAATCCACAAGGACACAGCTAATTCTACGATACATTCTTCTAATTCAAATATAAATACTACAACAACACTTCCTTCGAAAGAGGTATCTACTGTCGTTTCCACAATCAAAGATTTAACTATTACTACTATCAAACCTCATAAATCAACAGCATTACCAGTTGAGACGAGTCTCTGGGTGACGGAATCAAACACAGGGCCTTCGACTGTTGAATCCGCAACACATGACAACTCTAATGCTCCCACTAAAAACACTTCGTACAGTCCCTTTGTTACCTCAAAACTAACTGCAACACACAAGCTCACAAATATTGTCACTGGTCAAACTACGGAACCTGTTCATACCCCGTCCGTTCAGTCCTCTATCGTTAATGATAAAACGTTTGAAGGCCTCATAACAACAAGAAGTGCATCTATTCAAACAAGAATGTCAACGGATAAAAAAGAAAGAAGCAAAATTACAACGGAAGTGTTATCATCTACAGTTGCATCTACTAAACAATCAAAATATTCAGAATCATCACTGGCATCTTTAACACCTGCAATACAAACAGTGACCATGGCAACCACTGAATCAACTGGAACTCCAAATACAGGTAGGAGTTATTAAATAGAATAAACTCATAAGGCATGGTTCAGTTTTGATGAATTTCAAATGTATGTAAATTTTATTTCAGGATCTGCCTACTTTGAATTTGCAATCCTAATTTGGATATCTGGAAAATTCAGTGCAAGCCTTCAAAGGAACCTTACGTTTATGAACGAAATTAAATTCTTGGTAAGAAAATGTCTGATGAGTGTAAAATATAAAAACGATATCTAGTTTGCAAATAAGTCAGCTTTGTCTCGGAGGAGGTGAGAGAGCCTATTTTTATTCTTGTTTTACAAAATGTCTTCTATTCGCTCTGCTCATTTTTTTGTTTTTGATTTTTTTTTCAATTTTAGGTGAAGGACAACTTCCTTCCTTCGAAATACCGGCAAAGTACTATATTCAATCTTCAGGTTTTCGCTATAACGTAGGTTAACTAAAATAACTACTGATATATACCATTTCTACGTGTACATTTTTTTTGTTTTGTTTTTGCTAAAGTGTTGAGGTTTTTTCGCAGAGAAGGAAGCATTAAAGTACATGTACAGTCGAAAGTGTTCGTTCAAACCTTACGCCGTATGAACATCACAGTAGGGGACCTTGTGCGCAATGTAGCTGACCAGGTCGATTCTGTGGAATTTTCTACCATAAGCACTTCCCATGGAAATATTTATGACAATAAAGAAGATATAAGAAGAGAATTTATCAACCACGAGAGTAAAATCATTTTTCCCATTTTTTCATGATTTTTCTAGGGGAAAAACATCTTTATACAATTCTTTTAAATTATTTAATTTTCCATAGACATTTGTTCTCCGAGACTCCTGTGTTCTATTGTATATCTTTAATTTCAACAAAATATTTTTAAATTTTAAAAGCGATTTCTATCCCTTCACAAACTTTCTTCTTGAAAATACTTTCAAACTAAACCGATATTTCGCCCCCATCATCGATGTGTAGCCAAATGGCAAAAATGGATTCATACTCTATGTTTTCCACGGAAATAAGCAGTGCAATACCGTGATTTGTTACAGATGATACAGAATGTGAAGCAGTAGGTATTTGTGACAGTACTGAAGAATGTACTTCATCCGTCAACAATTATACCGCCATATTATGCAATCTGCACCGATCCGTCTGCTCTCTTGAATGTGGTCCAAACGGCGCATGTGTCAATTCCAGTGGCATCTTCCACTGCAGGTATATACATTTATATATGCATATATTAGTAGATATTCAAGGACAGTTTTTTGGTGCATTATATAGTGTCTTACTTCCATACTTCAATTTCTTTGTATAAAATGTATTAAGGACCCTCTCTACACTGCAAACTGATTACAGGGTACTTTTGTGTAATTAGACTTATCCACCATTTGATATAAAATAGAATAAATTACAATCTGCAGTGTATTAGATAATAAGTAATTAATTCAAGTATTCTGAACATTATATTAGACCAAGATAGAGTACTTGAAAATTTAATTTGCATGTATGTTCCCCATTTGAGTAAGCAAACACGATTTCTCTCTATCAGGACTTCTTGTCTTTGAAGATTTTTTCCGGGGTAAAAAAGGCACCAAACTATGTTAAAAATCAACTACAAAATTTTAATATGTACTCCTTTATGCTATATAATTTTCTTGAAGTCCAAAAAAAAAACATTAGTTTTGGAGTAGTTTTGTTCAGTAGTGTATATAGAGGGTCCTTAATACTTTCGTTGATTACAATGCATTCCATCATTGTTTGAAACCGTATTAAAGGACGAGCCAAGCGGTTTTAATAACTTTAACCCATCATTGGGTCTATTTTGACTGACATGATTCATACATTTGTTAGGTCATTGTTTTTATGCTAAATTTGAATTGATTGCGAATTACTCCGTCTGCCTGATCAATACATAGGGCTCACGGTGGGTGTGATCGGTCGACAGGGCCGGGATGCTTACTTCTCCTTGGCACCTGATCCCACCTCTGGAGTTACCAGGGTCCGTGTTTTATGTCTTGTTCACAAATTTGTATTGTTTTTAAGAACTTTGAGATCGATCGCTGTTCGTTATCTTCACATTTTCATTTAACTCATTTATTTTACCGTAAAAGTTTCAGATTCTGAAATACATGTACAGTTGAACTTCGGTATCTCAAACACGGATATCTCGAATACCATGGATATGTCGAAGTCATTTTGAAGTCCTAACTACTTATTCCTTAAGTATTTTACCCTGGATATCTCGAATCCTCTGTTACCTCTGTTATCTCGAAGTAATTTCTCAGACCCTTCAAGTTCGAGATAACGAGGTTTGACTGTATTTGATTAAAACACAATATTTTGTCTTGGCTCTATCAGCTTCTGTCCTGTTTAATGCCCTGTTCACAGATTTTTATTGTCTGTAGATTTTTTTTTTAATCAATCATTGTTCGTTTTCTTTGCCTTTTTCGTTTCTTCTTAAATTCCTAATGGGATAGAATGACATCAACAAAAAGAACATTTTTGACATACGTATCAATAGTGCAATGTTGTCGGCATGTTTTTTTTCGTGGCTTATTGGAAAGTATTATAGAAAATATATTTAATTATGTTTAAAATAGACTGAAAAAAACTGTGAAGCAGATTTAAGGTCTCCTGAAAAAACTCACTCTGAATATGATTAATGTAAATCCACTTCATCTTTTCATGTTGAATTTTAGATGCAAGTCAAATTGGCTGAATATCTATTACGGTTTGCATTGCGAAAGTAGAGCTGTTTCTTTGGAAGCCCAACTAGGGATTACTTTTGGATGTCTTGGAGTTCTGATGATCTTTATATTCATAGTATGCCTTGTGAGATCTCGGAACAGAAATAAAGAAAGGTAACTCTCAAAATGTAAAACTCTTTAGCATCAATATATGGTATGGAATAACTCTGAAACTTCAAGATATATGTAATTCTAAAATTTGCTTCTTAGCTACTATGAGGGAGATGCCGTGGGAGGCTGGCGGGGGTTTAATGGCGGGGATTCCCGATGGTCGACGTTTTCGGGGAGATACTCTACTCGGGAGGTACCATACAAAAGGTCTTTGCGTGATGGAAAATACCTGGTACCCGTAAGAATGTTTTCAAATCATTCAAGTTCTAAGATAGTTAAATAAAAATTTCAAAAAGATAATTAAATGAAATGAAAATGGCAAAGTTACCATACTTAGAGGACTTGTGTCAAAATTTCTAAAAGCCCTTGCCTGTGTCCTGTAGGTATGATGTAAAAATCCTTCTACAGCTGTTCTATACGATTTAATAAAGGAATATATTTCTATTATTATGTCATATTGTAATTTTTGAATTTACCGGGTGGTAGTAAATAAAAAAATTACAATATGACATAATTTTTGTATTTACTACCACCCGGTAAATTCAAAAATTACAATATGACAATTATATGATTTTTTTTTTTACATTGCTGAATCTAACAATGTATAATTTCTATAACCACTGAACAGATTAAGTAGTATATGTATAATAAACCTGTTCCTATGATTTCACTTAAAGATAAAATATACTTATTCATACTACTGAGTATTTTACCTCGATTATAAGTAACGGAGTATGAATTTTTTGTTTTATTTGTCCAAACTATTTTTTTATATTCAAATTTCGTCTTGTAAGGGTTTGATTATTAATGACTCATTTTTCAAAGTACAAAAAACTTCTAAAGCACAAAATGGAAATTCCACTTTACAAATTTGAGCAGAATGTAGCTTAATTGGTAAAAGGATAATGTTGAAATTCCAGACTGAGAGGTTTTCACTGAAATTTTTTTTCTTCCATTTTTCAGTCGTCTTACCTGCATTGTTGCAATACTATATAATTTGTACAACTATATATGCGAATTCCTCAATGCAGGATGAACTAACTTTTCTCTTGTCTGCCGTCTAGGCACATGACCCTTTCGGTAGCGGTCGCATGACCAGGCCAGGCCTGTATCTCCCTAGAAATGATGGGGTGGATACCAGTTTTATCGATAGTGTCCCAAGCTACAGCAAATTCAATTTAGATGCTGATGTGAGTTTGAATTTGTTTTTATCTTTTATTTAAAAAGGCAAATATTTGTTTGTTTGTTTTTTCAATATGCAAGTTTTACATTTATTAAGATATTCGGCACCATTAGCTCAATGTACTTGTATTTGACAATGACAAGGTAAGCATGCAGATTTACGTAATACGTAAGAAAACATAGTGAACATAGTGAATGTACGTATATACAAAATATTTGACAAATGACAGTTTTTAGTAGGATTTATTTCTCACTTTATTTGTATAATTACTTGTATATTTTATTTGTCGTTTTCCAGTTTACCATACGAAGACCTGTTGTGTCGAAGGAACCAAGTGCAATATATTTGAATGTGCGTAAATGTACATAGAACGTATCATATAAATTACAAGTAGCTGTTAAAAAAAAAAGAAAGAAAAAAAAAGAAATTGCGTTTGAATTCTATCTATCTGCAATGGTACCGATGTGTTCTTTTTTCTTCTTTCGTGTGCATATTTCATCCTTCTTAACATTTTAAATGAATATTTAAACTTATTTGTAATGAATAGTTTTGATTCTTTGTTCCAGAACCAATCTTGGAGATTTACAGGATACACGAACACTGCCTTTTACAAGTTTGTAGAAGAGAGAACGCATCTTTAAATTGAATTCATTGGAGAATTCAAAAACAGTTTTATTCGAATATAAAAATGATTTTCTTGATTCTTACTTTCGAGATACAGTTATTTTACACTATATGTATCTGTACATATGTATATATTAAAGGATAACATTTACATATAATCAATCTATATAATTATTTTTCTTTGTTAAAATAATGTAGTATTTAAACAATTAAAACTGGTTGTTTTTTTTTTTTAAACAGAGGCTTGAGACATTTCTAAAAAGTATCACACCATGTCAGGAATGTATGTGTATTTCAGAATGTTGATGTAATATAAATTGATCAACAAATCAATGATCATTTTTTAATTCCATTTATCGCTATTGACAGCTATAAAATTTATACATGTAATTGGTTTATTATTTCTATACCGATATTACGTAAAAAGTTGAGTTTAATTTTTCTTAGATCAATTCGAAGTGAACTGATTTGATCTGTATAACAGGTGTCGTGATCAGATTGAACGGTGATGCGGATCTGATTTAAGGAGTGGGCTGCCAAGAACAAGTGGGCTCGTATCACTTTGGTTCATAGATTATTATTCTTTCATTTTTCCAATCTACAATTTACACATTCTGTTGTTGATAATTGGATATTAACTCCAAATTGGAATTCTTGCAGAGGTCGGTGTTTTGATACCATGTGTAACAGTCAAACACTTTTAACAATGTTTTTTGCTAGTTGTTTTATATATCATATAATCATTGCGTGTTCAGACAGACCTTCAAAATGTTTAATTTTAAATAAAGTATTGTTTTAAAAACAGTTCTACAACAACCTTGAACCGAGGGTCGGCACTCGCACTCGTCCATTTTCACCCTAACTATTCCCCAATTTTCATCAGTTCATTTGCACTATCCAAAAAGGAAATTTATGCACCAAAATTACAATCTGATTCAAGTTATTTCCCTGCAAATTTAGTGCCTGTTAGTATGTTTATTTGACTTATTTTTGCAGTGGGAAATCTTTTTTGATCAGCTTAATATCAGATTGAGATACATGATATCTGTGTTCTTCATTTCCTTACGCAAATCCACTTTGTTGCAATGCCAAAATGATATCGTTAAAAAAAAATGCTTAAACAAACCCATTCCCCATTTCAAAACTTTTCGGACAATAGCATCAAAACACGACTTTTCTATGCTTTATACAACTATTCCTCACGCTAAATTTAAGAGCAGGTTTTTTGACATCATAGGCAACTGCTTCCTCAATAAAAATGTAACTTGTATAAATTTTCATACATGTACCTTGTGATTGGTCATCTACAAAATTCTTTGTTAAATTTTCAACATACAAGTACTCTGAAGTTGATATTAAAAAGATGCTGGAGTTCCTTATTGACAATATCTATGTAGTCTTTGAAGACCAGGTCTTCCAACAATATCTGTTGGATACCGGAGGGTACTAATTGTGCTCCTTTACTTTATATTCTTTATTCAAAAACTTCTACACGAGAAGAAAAAACTCTTACTGTGGCCTTCAACTCGACATTTAAATATATCGACGACGTTTTATCGATTAACAATCGTTATTTGTATTCATATGTCGACTCGATATATCCTTAGTGAACTCGAATAAAAGCTACTACAGAAGTCTGCCACATATTTGGATTTTTTACTGACTATAGACGATGATAGCAAACTTATAACTAAACTGTATGCCTTTGTTACGGAGTCTTATTCTCGATACCCCTAGGAATTATTTTTGAAAAAGTAATTACATGTACCGTATAAGTGGAATTTTTAGCGAGACGCAAATTTATAGCGATTTATCCTTAAAAATTGGTATATATTTTTTAGCGAGAAGTAATTTTAGTGATAATGCCAACAAAGGAAGCTATTAAACCAATACGCAATTAATTGTTAGCGATATTCAAATTTAGCGACCTCAACACCCTCGCTAATAATGCCAAAATTAAATCCTCGCTAAAAAGTCTGCTTATACGGTATTATTATTCATTCACCCTCTACGAGGATGAAAGTTTTTAAAACAATTTAACTTTCAGAACTTCAGGCACATAGTATTATAATTAATAACAGTATTATTTTTGAAAGCGGGGGCAACCCAGAAAATATTTTTGACAACTAACCTGAAAAACTTGGACAAGCCAAAGAGAAGGGGGATCCAAACCCGAAAATCCTATTTCGTGTGTGTATGTGGGGGGGGGGGGGGGGTCCAACTTTTTCACGACCAAATTTTATTAAAACATAACCTGGTTTGACTATACTGCAACAAAAGGGGCAAATAGCCTTTCAATGAACTTTTCAAAGTGAGATCTAGAGGTTATGCTTGGAAAAAAGTGAGGCAAGGGGGGGGGGGGGGTGATACTACATGCACTAGCCTAAACTTACAAAATTTTCTAATCTCTGAAAACATGGAAATGGGGACAAAATGGAAATTTTGATCAGGAGTTATGTGCACGAGGGAGGGAAGCCAAATCTAGCTAGCTTTAAGAATGACTCTAATTATTCTTTTATCCTAAATTTGATTATTGTCTCTAAAATTTATAATTAAATTTTGTCGATCAATGGCAATATGTTTTCATTAGATCTAGGGCCTACTGTACATAAAGAGGGTGTTGCAGAAACTCGCGATTATTCCCTAAATCGAGAAGGACATTTAAAATACCCACGACGCATTCATAAAGAGTTATCTCTAAATATAGATAATGCTACGTAAATGACTTTATTTATACGACGGGTATGTCCAGCTTGTTATAACAAAACATTTCACATTTTACGTTTATTTCATGCATAGTTTTTTTTTCCTAACATAGACTGGAGACCTGTAAGTAAACTTTTTTCACATCTATGGTCACTGTCGCCATATTGCACGAGAAAAGTTAGAACGATAAAAAACACAATAATGGCAAGTGCACCTCGCACATCATTTTGAAAGATGTACTGTAGTCAGCGTGCGTTAATATTTTTCAATATATAAAAATGTGTCCAATAATCATGCTGTTGATGCAATATCCAAGAAATTCCACTGAGTCTTTTCAAATTAGTTTCAAGTCAAATCTGAGCCACTAATTAACAGAACAATAATGAAACGAAATGCGTATGAAAAAATTAAATTATTTAAAATAACAGTAATTTATTTTTTAAGACATCGCCACTAAATAATAACATTAAACATTTGTCTTCTTAGTTTTAGATCACAATATTGAATATCAAGGAAAACAATTTAATTCTGCATGGATTTAAAATATTACCCATTAACTTTCTGACATTCTCTCCTTCTCTAGCTTCTCTAGCTCTCATGTCTCTTTCTCTCTCAAGAGAGATGTTACAATGTACTTTCATTATATAAGAAAAAATATGTATGTATATACCAGCCAGTCCAGGATTCGAACCCATGCTTTACCACTAGACCAGCTCCAACAGTGAAGTGTCATGTGCTATTTTATGTGCACATTTTGCATTTCGGATGGATAATAATTTTTATTCGATTTTTGTGATTTTCAAAAATATGCCTCTTTGAAACAAAAATCGGAAATGGCAGTTTTGAAGGAAATCCTGTCTTTTTATGTGTATATCAAATTCATTCTGTTTCAAGGAGGCAATTTTTCAGAACAATGGGGATTCCCTATATTTGAAAAACAGAAAACTTATTTTGCTATGTGACTAATTTACACTTCATTTAATGGCAAATTGGAAGTCGATATACATTTTCTCTAAATATCGTTCTACATTGTGCTGTATATACCGTTGTATCTGAAAAAAATGAAGACCGTTTTTCTGTACTTAAATTTTTCTTTGAAACTGCTACAACAGGGACCTATATATACTTAGTATATAGGTCCCTGCTACAACTTTAGGGAAAATAGCAATAGAACTGCAACACCCTCTTTCATGAACTTCATTCTAATTGACACCCCTCTTTTTGCAATAGAGAAAGTTATTCTCACTCAAATAAATTTAATATACATATAAACCAGAACTGTTGTGTTTATATAAAAGCGCACGGTGCTTTAAAGTCATTAGACACGATTATGTAATAGTAAACTAAATCTAGAGTATTCATACGCGTCAGCATAAACCGAAGTGCTTCTCACGAAACGTCAAATAGACATGTAGTTTTAAGCTGTATCTTTAAATTAACACTTATAATGACTGAATAAAAGCAAAAATATAACTTAGAAATAAATTATTGAGCAAATTTACTAAATATCATTTTAATGTGGGAACTATATTTTACCATGTAACGATATCCGTTCAGCCATTGAGAAAAAAAATGTAGCACCAAAACACAGGTGCTCGAAAATGTTATCTTATTATGTTTTAACCTGTTTGTTTCTTACTGTCCTTTTTACTGATGTCACAACAGGTATGTATATGATAAATATATGTGTTATTTAGAGCTATGTTAAGTTTGGTGCCCTTGTATTTTGTTATATATTTGTACATGCACCCCTGGCCTTGTGGCTTTCATTCGAGTGCAGACATTGTAATTGCCCTTCTTTGATATCAATATGATCCTCTTTTTTTGATCTCAAATTAATATTTTTTTTTATATAGCCATATCTCAGTATTGACGTGTTATTTTCTTTGGAAGCCTTGGAATCTGTTGTAATAAATCAAAAAGACATGAAAGATGTAAGACAAATTCCCACAAAAATAAAATTGTGTCCAGTGTCAACTTCAGACTTTAATTTAACAAGATCTGAATAATCATTACAAGAATTTGACCCTGACTTTAAGTCAACTGTGTACCTAGATAGAATGTTCTATCATTAAAATGATATTGTCCAATGGACATGTTTTAATGATAGAATTCGTTCCGTGTATTGTCAGTGTAGCAAAATAAACTGGGGAAGATACTGTTGAATTTTGGTATCTCGAACACGGATATCTCGAATACCATGGATATGTGGAAGTGATTTGGAAGTCCAAAGCACTTAATACTTTGAGTATTTTACCCATAATATCTCGAACCCTCAGATATCTCGAAGATTTTTTTTGGTCCTATCGAGTTCGAGATAACAAGGTTTGACTATAAATCTAATCTGCATGTTTACTACAAATAATCTAGAGAGTTCTAATTGTCAACATGGCAGTGCATAAATTTGAAGAGAGAAAAAAAGTATGTTGGAAAATGAATTGAATTTTTGTCTTCATATGGATTATTTCTTTAGGGTAGAAGGCATGTACGAGCTCAAAATAGGAGTGAAATGGATCACTGTGGTATCAATTCACCACAGAATTTTTTGTCGGCTTGATCACATTAAAAATCTCCATTTTTGGTTCGGTTCATTTTTTGGTTAGGATCACTATTCAGTCAGGTTTGGCATTCATAAAGGCAATCTACACAGCATGATTAATTTTTGAAAAAAAAGGTTACTGTGTCTATGTCATGGTATGGTTTTAATAACCAGCTGACTCATCTCCCAATTCTTTTAATTTGAATGTTGTAGTAGTTTTTACATCTTGAGCTTGACCAGGCCAGCCAGTATATAAATGCTCCGAAACATCAAATCCTGTTGACACATAGTCTACAAAATGATTGAGTTGTTTTCACTGTTGTAGGTTGGGTTTTGAATGTAGCATCCATAAATATTCAAATAAATTGACGAAAGTTTTATTTCATGCACTCTTGGTTTTTTTGTCTTTGTTTTTTTTTCCTACATTGTATTCCCGAAATTATCTTTCTCATTAGATAAGTTCTGGTTTTTACTAAAATATTGCATTAATGATTTTAGTATGTGCCATGTTGTTACAATATGAGTAAGTATCCCCAATAGACATGATAGACAGTGTTCAAATTGTTTGAAGGGGTGTCATTTCACACCCCAAATCAGACATGAAGCTAGGCTTTAATACAAGTAAAGGAGAAAAGATACAGCATGATATTTGGTGTGAAAAATGGAGTGTAATTGTACCCCTTACTTACTCCTCAGAGGTCTATCTGATGTTACATATTGGAGTCCCTAAAATGTTGACAGTTTGTGCACATACGGTAAAAGTCTTTTTTTTTAGATCAGAGTTATAATTGTTGCTAGAGATATGCTTTATGACTATATTAACAACCTTGACAATTAAATAAATACAAATACAAAATGTTTGCAACACAAAAACCATTTCCTTCCATGGAAGAGGTTATCTCAGAAGAAAAGTCATGCAGAAAAGAATCTGTCAGGAATTGACTGGAGACATTTGATGTAATATTATTGACATGTTAGGGCATTTCTAAGTAGTCAGAGCCAGATCTTTGATCCATTCAAATAAAAACTACAGGATCAAGTATTGAAATGGTTACAAAGAACTTTTATTAAATTAACAGGTATGAAACACCAATTAAAGTTCCAGAATGAGGTCATTGTTGGTTATTGCGACTTAATTGAAATCGTGAACAAAGTGTTAATTACCTACTTTTTACGATTCTGATACTTAACTCCCCCAGAGCTTTCTGATATCTGTTTAGGAAATAATGGATATATACAGTTAAATTTTGGTATCTCGAACACTGATGTTTGAATACCATGAATATATCGTAGTGATTTGGAAGTCCTAACCACTTATTCATTAAGTATTTTACACCTGATATCTTGAATCCTCGTATATCTTAAAGTTTTTTTTTGGTCCCATGGAGTTTGAGATAACAAGGTTTGACTGTATATCTGTCGGACAGTCCAGTTAAAGACTTCGGCCACTTGTATGCACTGTTCCATCAACTGTATTTCCACATATTGACAAATGAAAATATGCTTTTCTAAAGGAAAGAATAGACTTCTGCAGATTTTTTCTTGATTCAGTTTTTCAACACAATACATTTGTATATGAATGTAATGATCACTGTTTAAAATCAGTTTCTCCTCTGTGTCAAACCTTTTACATTTACTGAATTATGTATGGTATACATATCTACACTGATTTTCTGTCATTTCCCACCATCAGGCCTGTCCAAAGGCAAAAGGGTATTCTTTTAATACATGTATCATGTTGTGATCAAACATTCAGTGTGCAATCTTTTCTATGAATTTATTCCTTTGCCAGTCTCAAAACTGAAAAAATAAAGTGGCTTGCTGGACTTGCACGAGTATATTTTAAAGTTTGACTGGTGCTTTCTAAACCCTAATGGAATTGCAGCATAGTTGCAGTACAGAATAACATATGCAGCACTGAAGCAGTGCTTAATATAGCACACTGTGAGTTCAACTCCATCACTGCAGCCACTGTGCTCCAGAGCTTAACATAGAAGAATACAATGAAGAAGTGCAATTGTAGCACATTTCAAATATGATGTAAATTAGGATTGCAGTTGTACTGCATAAAAAAGTATGCTGTTCAGTATATGTGGGCATGCAGTTGACTTTTCTGAAAGCAGGGTGGCAGATAATGACTGGCCCATTCAAAAATTCAAGTTTTACCGTGGTTGACACACTCTTGAGGATGTTACTGCCAATATGGCAAATACAAATTTTTAAAGGAATTTTCCTGGAATCCAACCACTGTTCGACTCTTCTTTTAAACATATTGAATTTTACACTAGAAGTATCCAACCTTGCTGAAAAAAAGAATGATGGAGTCAACCAAAGGTTAAATTTTGGATTATGATGATGATCATGATAGAAGATATAGAAATTTTTCTGATGGACAGTAATTTTCAAAAATGAAACTTGTAAAGAGAGTTTGTTCTTCTTTTGATTGTTTAATACATTTCATTTATGAATGTGGGCCCTAAAATATAAATGTTGGCAAGTAGAGATTATAAAGTTGGAGCCCCATTTGGCCCAGATTGCTATGTTCCTGTGTTTTTTGCATCCCTTCTCATGGGTTAGTAATTTGACATTCAAGATCATCTTTGTTTGTTGATTGGAACACTGAAGGAAAGGGTTTTGTCAAGACCATTTAATTTCGTTAATCCAACTGAACTGAAAAATTATATCTTCCATTGCAAGTCCTCTCTTGATATACTGAAAATTATATAGAGCAAGTCCAACCTTGCTATAACTGAAAATTATATCAAGCATGTCAAACCTCAATATCAAGCAAGTCCAACTTTGATTTTCTGGATAAATCTAATCTTTATATGCTTAATAAGTGTAAATGTAAGTTGTGGATTCAAAATGTGCTTGGTTGATAAGCTAAGATAAACATACTCTGGTGTTTTGCATATCCATTGCAATATTTCAGGGAACATCAGCTTAAAAATACAAATGTATGTTGATACTTTGCAGGCTTGAAGTGCTTCTGCGCAGAATGCGTTTTCAACAACCAGACATGTGAGACTGACGGGGTGTGTCTTACGATTAGGTCCATAAGGAAAGATGGGACTGAAAAAATAAGATACAGGTATGTATGCAACATACATAATGTGTGAAAAAGTGAAGACAGTGAAAATAATATGTAAGGGTATTTTATTAGGTTGTCAAATTTTTATGTAAACTTTTTTAAAAAATCATCCTTGATACTGGTACTTTCTTGATAATAATTTTTTGTTAACAATTTCATAAACTTTGTTTGTTTGTTTTGTTTTGGTTTGGCCGTTTTTTTTGTTTGTTTTGTTTTGTTTTTTTTTTTTTTTACCTTAAATAAATGATCTTGGTTCAAAGTTACATATACATGGCTTTAGTCTTTTACACTTGATGATTATACGTAAATTAAGTTAAACAGTACAAGAAAAAATGCAAGTAAAGATTAAATTGACCATAATTGCGATAAAATATTCGGAGTGACTTGGATAAATCTGCAAGATCTATACATAAAAGAGGTACAACTTTAATACAGATTGCATGACATCCAAATACCAGTATTTAAATATATACCGCAATGGGATATATGCAATGTTGATAGTGATTTTAAAAATTCTACAGTAACAAGAAGACATTACAAATTTTTACATACTGTTGTCGTTTGATTTTTTTGCAGTTGTTATGATTTCTCTCCAAGCTTACTTTTTCCTGGTCAAACACTACCAACAGTTTGTCACAGAAAAGGCAAACAGTTAAACATAAGTAATGTTGAATGCTGCCAAACAGACTTCTGTAATGTGGAATTGAAACCAACATTAGCTACATATATTGATCATGGTACAGTTTGATAACATTAAAATTTATAATAAAACATAAACATAGTAAACACCACTGCACTGTCTGTCTGTCTGGCGTAAGTATTGAGAGGAACGGAATGTCTGCACACATCAAATCATTTATGCCAATTAGGCTGTCAAGCCCAAATATAGTCTCCATAACTTAACCTGGTACCGTAAGTCCATCAAATTTCACGAGACTTAATTTTTTGCAAGACGATAACAGTTATTTTTAAAATACCAATTTTGACTTGTCAAGTGTAAAAATAAATAGATGGACAAATTGTTGTAAACTTGCCATTTCTAATGACAGGAACTTTATTTTCAAGTTGAGACAATCTTGCTAATGTTTGCATAAATGAAATTGCAACCAAGTGGGATTCATGGTACACAGGTATTATCAAAGTGATGACAATTCGATAGTCATTCCAATGATGGGTTAAAATAACCTTCACAGCTTGGCTTTCACATGCTCTCAACACCCTCCCTCCCCCTGAAAAGTCCTTCTGCAAGTCAAAGCACTTTTTTTTTACAACCAGTTCATAATAATAGTATGATAATAATTATGAAGAAGTTTACAAAATGATATGAAAGTTGTATGCTACATTATTTTAATGCATTTATTATTTTGGTTTGTTTGTTTGAATATTTCATACCTAAATCTCATATACTGGTAGGTGTTGTGTGATATGTTTACATTCTAATATACAGGTGAGTACATTATTCTGTCTTCATACATTCAACGGGTCCAGTTCCAAGTAACTTAGGACTCTTACATAAACTAAAAGTTGGGCCAAAGTTGCACGGGTATTACTAAGAATGTATAGCATTATAGTAAAAGGTTTGTTTTTGGTTTGACCTGTACTTTGGAATCATCACTGTTTGTGGGGGACAACATTCAAGAATTTCATGGGTCGTCCTTACCACAGAATTTACATCCCCATGAATTATAACTTTGTCAGTGTATTTGTTCATTGAATCTTTTGTACATACAAATTATGCAGGAAATGATGGTCCCATAAACCAGTAAAATATCAATTGCCAAGGAACACTGACCCCAATGAAATAATGTGTTTCAGTATTTTTGTGATGAGTAACCAGGTGAAATATCTGAAATAACTCAGAGTCGTACCTAGATCAAACCTGTATGGATAGTTAATGTTTGGTCACATTTATTTAATAAGACTTGATTTTTTTATACTGTATTCTAAATACATGTAACTGGAGTAATTTATTGATCAATTCAAATAAAGCTATTTACCAATGTCTTTTAACTGAAGTTTCTAACTGAACACTAACTTGGTAGCAAACTTAGAGACAACTTTCCTAGAGGTGAGAACCGTGAGATTAAATATGTTTTGGATGAAGGAGAGATTTGTTTGATATCTTATAGTAATATAAAGATGAAGTTGTGCATTTGTATTTAAAATATTTTTTTTCATTTTTGTATAATAGGTGTAGTGTTGAAGCTGATAATCTTCCACGTATTCCGAACCATGACATCTTAGAGTGTATGAATACCAAACTTCGTGGAGATTCATCCAGTAAACTCTGTTGTAATGATGAAGATTACTGCAATAAACTTCTGCGACCTACATTTGCTCCACCCACAACCCATACTCCAACATTCAGAGGTAGGGCTGCAAAAAATATTTATTCTCTTAAATATTGTAGCAGAGGGAGAGGAGTGGGGGGGATATGGTATACCTGAGTTATTAGTTCAAGTCATTGAAGTGAGCTTTTCTGATCACTTGTTGTCTGGCATCCATTTTTCCATCTATCTATCCATCTGTAAATGTGACACATATTTGAAATCTTTTCTAGAACTAGAATTTTGACAAAACTTGCCACATTTAAATTCAAATTTGTTGAGATGAAGGCCACATCCTTTTAAAGGGGAAAATTAAGAAATAGTGAAAAATTGGTAGAATCTTCTATAAATCTTTATTTTGTACCAGGGATGACAACAGGTTTTTTATGATGAACTATCACATCATTCTCAGAGACATCCAAAACCAGGGACCAAAAAGTGAAGGGGTCTTAGCCTATCTTGTCCTTTCTTACATGAAATGACATCTGACTTGACACCTCAACCCTTACCTTAAAGAGTGCAGTTCAAGCTTTAGATTTTTGCAAAAACTGACAAATACTTTTTAAAAAAGGAATTGCCAGTTGTTGTTTTTTATTATGTAGGGGACTAAAATTGATTTATTGGACAAAATTTGATCAAGTTAATAAAAGATACATGCATATTAGGTTCATGTTAATTACTTACAAATTCTTTTTGAGTAAATGAAATGCATTGTAATATTTGTATACACATTTGTCTTTTCAAATGCTTGTCAAATTATTGAAACTATCTTCATCAAAGCATTTTAAAGTGCAGAAAAATTTGTGCAAAAGTAAAATTAAGCCATGTTTTTCTCTTCTGTTTTTAGGAATTATTTGGAAAGTGGATGAAAATACTTTTGGGGCAAAAATGTTTGTGGGGGATTGAATTTCATGGATTAGATTCTACAATAAAATTTAACAAAGTTGAACAAAGTTTTCTTGAAATTGCACTCAAAAAATAATAAAAACAATGAAATTTAGATCTAGTCTCCAAAAGTGTTTGTATAAGGCTAAGAAATTTTAACCTCACAAAAATTTCTGCCTCTTCATTATTTTGATTTTTTTTTTCAAATAAGAAATGCAAGTTTCTACATATCTGCTGTACATATATTCACAGAAACCATGCTCACATTACATGTATATCCCTCTTATAATGAAATGCACACACCTCCAGCATGCTTCTTGCATCAATATTACATTTCAAAGTCAATGATAAAGATGTTTTTTTTTTATTTTGGATACATTTTATTGTAGTCATGATAACCTTGAAGAATAAATAATAAATTAAATATGGCATTTAAGTGTTAATATACATGTCAGCTTAACTTCATTCTATGCCAATAAATACTTAAAGGAGTTCCTAAATATATGTAAAATATCATTGACCTTTTTCTCACCTTTTCAGAGAATCCTGAACCTAGACTGACCTTTGGAACATGGGAGTTAGTTTCTCTGATTGCTGGGCCTGTGATTGTGGTCTCCATCTTATTTGTCATATGTTTCCTCTCCTACAGACAGTGCCAGCATCAAGGGTACTGTCTCTCCCCCAAGGCCATGATAGATGGACCCAGTGAGACACAGCCCTTCATGCAGCCTGGCCAGAACACAGACACGCTGAGAGAAATGATCATGGAGTATTCAGGCTCTGGTTCAGGTAAACACTCAGAGAGATATTTAGGCTCTGGTTAAGGTAACTTGTGTTAAAGAAACCATTTTATAGCTTCAGCAGGCAAAAATTTTCAGTTACTTTTGTATTTGGCATTCTGGCAGGTGAAGTAACAAGTTTGATTTTTATGATTTTCATGTTTTGGGAGCCCATCCTCCCAAAATATAAATTCATTATGATGCAAGACATGCAAGAACAATGAATACTTTCTGTCGGTATGCTTGAGTGTTGGACCCTGCCTCAAACAAAGATGGCATTCATTTCTGACCTATTTAATATTTATGCATTTCAGGACTTCCCCTACTTGTCCAGAGAACCATTGCCAGACAGATTCAACTGGTGGAGATCATTGGAAAGGGTCGTTATGGAGAAGTTTGGCGAGGACGCTGGAGAGCTGAAAACGTAGCTGTAAAAATCTTCTCTTCCCGTGAGGAAAGATCATGGATACGAGAGGCAGAAATTTATCAGACAGTCATGCTGAGGCATGAAAATATTCTGGGATTCATTGCAGCTGATAACAAGGGTATCATTACACTAATTATGCTAATTTTTTTGAGTTGACATATACCAAGGAAGCAGTACTTCTTGCAACAAGGAATATTACAGATATCTCCCCATATGGCTGTCCTATTACTGATTCAGCACCAGCTTCATTAATTTAGACAAGACTTTGTTGTTATAGACCAACATTTTATTTTCCAAAGTTTTTGTGGGATATAATGTAAGCTGCTGCTCATATAAGATTTGGTGCAAAAACAACTCTCTTATTTTGAAGATGAGTTGAAACATTTCAATTAAATCAATAAAGTCTGTGATGATGAAATATTAAGTTGTAGTTTGTTGATATCACCTTGATCTATGTAGATTTTATTCATTAAATATTTAAACCCTCTGTCGAACCATAAAAAGAAATAATTCCGGCTAGACTGTTGAATCAACATTAGTAACCCTGACTACTCAATTTTAATGACAGCATTATCAAATTTATTGGCTTGCCTATCTTTGAACAAATTTTTCTGAAGAAGTATCTCTCTGTTGTCATTGGTTTGAAAGTCTTGTTACATATTTTACTTGCTATATCATTTTCATTTAATTTTAAAATCTTTTATTAGATTGATTCACTGTTTCAGTAACATCTTACTAAATTCATGTGATTTATGGCTTCTATTCACTGTGAAAAATTAGCATGCTCTTTCAACTATTTGCAGATAATGGCACATGGACCCAGTTATGGTTGATAACAGATTACCATGCCAATGGTTCTTTGTTTGATTACCTAAACAGAACAGTTTTGTCCACAACACAAATGATCAGACTGGCCATGTCTGCTGCATGTGGGCTTGCCCATCTCCACATGGACATTGTGGGCACAGAAAGTAAGTACAGTATATGGTAGAACTAGTGTCTTAAATATAGAGAATGAGAATTCATGAAAAATTGTAGATGGGTGTAATTTTTGCAATTAGAGAAACATTTTGGTAATTAACCCGCATGCAAAATTTTCTTTTAATCTTAATACCATATATGATATATACGATCAGCATGTTTGCTTTATTAAAGCAAAAACCATATAATCCTCACATTAAAGGTTTTGATTACAAAGAACACCAAAAATTACTTTCACAAATTTTTCCTTTTATACTATACACACCTACAAGGGGAAATATTGAATTCAGATGAGATACATGTATGTTGACTCATATAAGAATATAACCTCAAATCACCATGCATTAACTAAAGGCTGCATTTTAAAATACAGTTTCCTTACAATTTGTTTGTTTCCTAAAAAGATAATTGAAATTGATACTGTGGTTTCATCAATTTTCGTTGGCATCAATTTTCGTGTATTTTGTAAAACAGACGTTTTTCGAGGATAAGTAATTTTGTGGACAAAAGCATTGCCTATACAAATGAATAACATATTTCTTAAGTCAAAGAACATCTAATTTCGTGGATCTGCTCAACAATGAAATACTCGAAAATTGGTGCTCAAAGAATATTGATGAAATCACAGTATTTGATTAAAAAACTACAGCTGTTTGTGCAAATGTAACCATTTCTGGTAGAAGTGTGTTTGTAGTGTTGTTGAAAATATATAACAATCATTAAAAGAAACCTACATGTATGTTTTTTGTCGTTGTTTTTTTTTCCAGTTCATGCTGGGAAACCAGCTATTGCCCACAGAGACTTAAAAAGTAAAAACATTCTGGTTCGGAATGATGGGGTCAGTTGTTGTATAGCAGATTTAGGTAAGTAACGTGTGGCTTTTATATGTAATATGCGGAGAAAAGAATCTTTTACTGAAAGTTAGTTGAGAAGAATGTCTGATTGAGTGATGGTGAAATTGAAGCATAATTCCATACTAAAAAGGGCCGATGCTCTGTTCATAAGAATCAAAAAATATTTTCAGAAATACACACTTTAGAGTCCATATAAAATAAAAATAAAAGTAAGCTTATGCTTAAATTCTTTAAATTACAGTATGCCATTGTTTCATCATGTATTATGGATAAAAATGGAGAAAATACAACTGTATATTAGAGGATATTATTTAAGATTTTTGGCTTTAATTCTTAAATTATTCTTCTATGATTGAGTAATCAGATATGTGCAAGAAAACTTGTAATTGCCTTATGTAGGTTTGGCTGTCCGACATGACCCTGTAACGGATGCAGTGGATATTGCTCCTAATAACAGAGTTGGGACCAAGCGATATATGGCCCCAGAGGTTTTAAATGATACGATCAACATGAATCAGTTTGATTCCTTCAAGAGAGCCGATGTGTATTCATTTGGACTGGTGCTATGGGAGATTACTCGTCGCTGTTCAGTAGGAGGTATGACTCTTAGATCAGTGAATTAATCTATGAGTAAATCAAATTCTTGTTTTTGTAATATTTATTTTCATACATTTGTACATTTATACCCATTTGTTAGTCAAATGTGTTAAAAAGGTGTTTTCACATGAGCAATATTTAAGGAATGAAGCTTATTTTAACCATTTTTATATGATATAACTTGGGGCAGTTTATGCTTTATAAACCGCTTCACGGTTTATAAAAAAGCGTAAACTACCCCAAGTTATGTTATATCATATAACATAGGTTAAAATAAGCTTCGGTCCTTATAATTTAATTTCAGTGTAGACAATAAGACAATTTTTCCTCCAAAAATGGCTTCAAATTGAGCAAATTTTGAAAGTAACGTCAAGCGGAGTAATACGTTTTTGAACGTAACTCATTGTGATTCCTCTACACTCTGAACTACAGCAATGTCTGTAATGTACAAGTTCATAGGATTGAAAGTTAAAGTCTAGTAAGAGAACTAACTCCATAGTTCAAGTTGATGTAAATCTAACCTTATGCAAAGGTTGCCGATGACATTTTAATTGAAACAATTATTTAGTTGCATATAATACCGTACATTTAAGTAAATGATAATGCAAAAGTGTCTTATTTTTACATGTATACATTGTAGGTATAGTAGAGGACTATCAATTGCCATTTTATGATATTGTGCCCTCGGATCCCAGTCTCGAGGACATGAAAAAGGTGGTGTGTGATGACCGACAAAGGCCAGGGATCCCCAACAGATGGCAGACAGTAGAGGTCAGGAGGTTACAAATGACATCAGTCAATCACATTTCCATCATCTTATAAAAGAGATTACTGTATAATTCCTATTAACCGCCCCGGGCGCCTAGCAAATTGCAAAAAGGGGGCAGTTATTTTCGTATTCTAGTTATGATTTTTTATGTCATATTGTAACTTCAAAAAATCTTTTGAAAAAAATAATAATTTCAGAGAACCACTAAAAGATTGTCTAACTTTTCTTTAAGTTAAGATAATCCATCGAAATTATGCTATATGATTCATTTTTCCACCGAGAAATTAGAGAATACACAAGGAGAACAAATTTTGTAGGTAACTTTCACTTTCAGAAATACATAATGATTAGGTCGTTCTAAAAATCTTTCACTTTCAGGAATACTTTACGTACAAGTTACCCAATAACCAAGTTTCATTTTCACTTTCTTCAAATTATGGCGGACTTTCGATACGATTCTAGATTATTTTTTAATCACTGTACAGGGGGCCTTAATTCCCGACAATTAAAAAAAGATGTAGGGGGTGCTTTTAGGGGCATGGGCAGTTAATAGGGATTATACGGTAATTATTTCAGTGTAGAACTGAAGAATTTCAAGAACTTTTTCTTATTTTTGTATAAATGAAAACAATTCTGAATTTTAGTTAAACTTTTAATGTAGGAATAAAAAGTCTTGCATCTCAGCAGTGAAGTACAGTAAAACATGCTTGTAGCAAAGGATGTGCAAGGGATGAACAATTTTGATTCGTTTTAAACATAATTTGTGATCTTTGATAAGAATATGTTTTAAATCCACAGGGAATAAGAATCACTTCACTGTAAACATGAATTCATTAACATAAGCTTGTTCACTATAACTGTGTTTTATTGTATTTTTTTTTTTTTTTTTGTGAAACAATTTGAGGATTGCCATTTTTATAATCACCCTTTTCTATTTCAGAGTTTAAAAGTCATGTCACGGTTGATGAGAGAATGCTGGTATCACAATCCTGCCGCTCGGTTGACAACACTGCGCATTAAAAAATCACTTGATAATCTGGCAAAGTCAGAAGATATGAAAATCTGATACCAAAGATAACAAAAACTCTTAAAAGTGGCCATGGCTTTGGTATGACTGCAATCTGTTACAGTTGTATTGAACATTAGGTACATGTAGAACATGTATGATTGATGCTGGGCTTTCAGACTTTTGTACTTTAGTGGGAATGACATTGACAGCAGTCTGGGCATTTGTGATATACGTGTGTATGTGTGTGATAAGTATAATGTTCATGAGAAGTGTTGTATGTAGGTGTTGTTTGAGAAGTTGTTGAAGGAGATAGACATGGTTTACGTTGTTGTATGTCTTTTGCATTTTTTAAAATTCACTTTTAGAAAAAAAATGGATTCTTTTACCTCTTCCTTATACATTAATTGTTGATGTGCTTTTATTTTAAAATGTGATTTTAGTCTCTTAAATCTATCTTTATTCATTTTTACTGTCTGTACTTAATAAGGTTTTATTTAAGAAAACATGATCTATTTACAAGAACAACTTGAGGTTGATGATTGACTGTATTGTGACTACCTCACATCAAAAGAGGAAAAAGATACTATTAAGTCACTCAAACACTGAAAAGTTTTGGTAAAGAATTTAAATTATTTCATGGAAATGTATTGCTAATTCCAGTTCATTTGTATAGGGAACTGGTTTCCTTCTTCCTTTTTTTGGATTGCATGACTTTGCATGTATCCTGGCAATATTCTTATATGTTGTTAACAAATATACACTGTATATGCTAATGGCAAAAAAAGTTGTTGAATGCAGACATGTAGTGCTCTGTAAACTTGTACACAAATGAAATGTATATTTTCTTTACTGTAATGGCTTCAATTCTGTAATATTTCTCGGCTTTTTATGCCATGATTAAATCTTCAAATCATGTGCATGAAAAGTTTTTGAAATTCTTTAGTTTCATTTGATAATTGTGTATTTTTACAAGTGAATTCCACAGTGACAATTGTTGTAAATAATGTAGTCATAATCATGTGTTTCATGTCATAATAAGTTAAGTTGGATTAAAGTCCTTTTTCCAATTTGTCATTTTTTTAGCATTAAGATTTTATGTTGGTATCAAAATACATGTACATGTATACTAGTATATACTAGTATATGTGTAAATTAAAAAAAAATATATTTATCATGTCTCAATAAGTTAGAGGGGTGAAAGTGGATCAAAATCACATTATTCATTTTATTTGACTATATTGTAGAATATGTTTACCTTTTAATAGAACAGAAAAAAATCTGTTTTGTGTAGAATTTTGTCATTATTTTGAAGCAAAAATCTTAAAAAAAAAAAACTTTAAAACTCTACAAAATTAAGTCACAAAATTCATTCTGCAAAAATTGAATTTGTAAAGAAGAAATTGCTGACAACCCTTTTATTGAAATATTAATTCCCTAGCAGAAAGTCTGTATTGCATTGTTTTATGAAAATTCATTATGTCTAAATCATATTTTCTGACTGTGAATAAGAGGTTTGAACTACTAGCGTGTGTCATGATGCCAAGCAATTGCATTATAACATACTGTAAGTATTACTTTGATAGGTACATATCTTTGTGTTGTTCTATAATTTGTGTACATGTCCTCATTTTGTGAATTTTAGCCAATTTTTTTTTGTATGTGCAGATTTTAGAATACATGTATTTATTACAATAATGTGTGGCTAAAGTGCTTTTTCTGTATTATATTTTTAGGATCAGTGAGAGTATATTCATTTATTAACATATGACATAATGGTTGTGTACTGATACATTTTAGTTTCTTTGCTGGAATCAAAATCTCAAAATAGTTGATCAGCATGACAATTTATATACTTTTTTAGAATCAAAGTTTTACAATGGTGTAGGTTAAATCCTTGTTAAATGATTATTACAGTGTAATCTTTTTTTTTTATCTTTTAATTTGGATTTTAATTTTTTTCAATCTTGGATAAACAATTACCTTTCAGGATGAATATGTAGTGGTGAAATAACAAATTTGTAAGCTTGTGACATAGCTATTATACTGAAACCAAAAAAAAGAAATATACTACATTTTTTATAAGCTGATTTAAGTAAAATATTTATTGTACTGTTAATGTAAATACTGATTTTTCTGGTTAGCATTTTAAGTTTGTTAAACTCTCTCGGGAATGATTCTTCAAGTTTTGATCTGGACTAAATTTAGTCATTTATACCAGATCAGTTTAATACTTCTCAAAAAAATCTTTGACTATACACTTTTAACTTTTATATAACTCAAACAATTTAATGAACTGAGGTGTCATACTATTAAACCTGATCCTTACCTGTATAGGGCATTGCACTAAAGGAATATTGTCATCAGTTATATAAAATCCAATATTTTCAACAGAAGCAGTAAATGACTTGTATAACATTGCTTTGCTTTGTATAATACAGTTACCCCCAAGTCTACATTGCTCTGCACATATAAATCTATACAGAATTTAAAAACATACAATTTTTTCCCTCTCAGCTATACTTCAGACAGAGTCGAGTATAAATGAATAAAATGGAAACATGGAATTTCCCCAAAATGTTTACAAAAAGCCCTGTACCTTTGTTCAGTGTCTCAACTTTACTTTTTGACATATTGTGTTAAAATGTCAAGACATGTTCAGTGGAATAAAATTCTGAAATATTTAGCTGTTTACTTGTTTTCAGAATTAATACTGCCTAAATCATCACGGGCCTATAAATGTTATTTGTTTAGCAACAACTGTTGGAAGACAACATGAGCTATTGTGACAGTAAGTGCCTGTTGTTCGTCGATCAGTTTGTAAACAATTTTCCACTTATGTTGCGATTACGACAACGACACAGCAACGCGGAGCATCCTCTCGCAAAAGAGCATTTTGAATCCGATCTAAATAAATACTTGCGTAACTTCCGTTACGCACGCATGCACTCGCTCACTCAACACACAAGCGCGTTACTATATCCCCTCGTACTTAGTTCCGAGGGGATCATAAAACTTTGTACACATGGCATGTACATTGTACATTATACATGTATCCCCTACTACCCAAACTTCGTCACCACAAGCGGAAAACACGCCAGATTACTCTGAATTATTTTTTGATTTGATTCTTGTTTGCTACACTTAGTAATGAACTTAAACATTGTTTTCAGAACTATTTTTAAAAATCCAGTTATTAAGTTTGATTATACAAAACTACTATAAATAGAACGCGTATCACATCCGTGTACATTACTTCCAGTGAACCCCAACTCCGTCACCAGGGCCCTCTACAATATGTCAACATATTAATTAGAATTTTTTTCCAGTTTAGTTTTTCTCCCTTCATCTTAAACTTGTAATTTAACATGGAAAATTAGTTTTGAAGATTTAAAATAGCATTAAATTGTATTTTAGGAAAAGTTTCAACAAAAGAAAAAATATAACGTTAAGGTATCCGATCCATAATAGCCTCAGATTCAATGAATCTGAATGCATAACAGATATATATTGGCTGAAAACTCAGTATATGTGGACATAATCTTCATGTTTTAGTAACAATATGTAAGAGCGGAATGTGTCCTAATTTTTGACCTTGTCCTGTCCTTTAAGAGTTATCCCCCTTTGCTTTTAATCAATAAAAATCAATTCTAAAAAAATCTATCTGGTAAAAAGATTAGTTTTCAATCGTATTTCTATTCCTAATGATTAAATACATCTTTCCACCACAGCATTTTTTTTGATATTCTTAGTATTTAAGTTTTTATTTTCAAAAAATCTACTTGTCCCCATAGACCTCAATGCATTCTTCATTAATTAATTACAGCTTAGGTAATTATATTTTTGAAGATTTCTCCTGGTAAATCCTTTTCTACTCTAAAATGTTTTATGTCTCCCCTTCCAGGGGAGACATATTGTTTTTGTCGATTTTCTTATTAAGGTCTTCCGACTTCCTTCGGAAGACCTTATTATTTTCCGTCTGTTTTCTATTATTATTATTATTATTCTTTTTTTCATAGTACAGGCCATATCTCAGCTATGCGTGGATCAATTTGAAAGATTTTTTCAGGGAAGACGCACCATGAATATATCTCCAGGGGTGTCCCTCACTTTTTTGCAATTCACTTCCGTTCGCGATTTTTGGGGAAAATTGTATTTTTTAAATGGAATTTTGTCCGTTAATTTTCTCGAGAACGGCTAAAGATATGAAATTGAAACTCATGGACGTGATAGAACATTAAATGGAGATATGGTGATCGACCTTTATTTTTCGTCGTTCGTACTTCCGGTCGCGAACGGAAGTGAATTCAAAAATGTTAAATTTGCAACTTTTTTGTTTTTCAATATTTTTCTTTGAAATTTACAGGGCTAATAGAGAGTCTTTTAAGAGTTCTATGTATATTTTCATCATTTTGATTGATGCATTTATTGCAAAGATATGACCGATGCAAACTTTCTCGTATGTTGCGGGTTCGAATCCTGCTGGGGCGGGAGATTGTTTCTCTCTTTTTTCAGTTGAAAATAATATTTTTCTCCTTGAAGACATGTATGATAGTTTTTGCTTATTTTTTAAAGAGTTTTGTTTACAGAGATTCTACAGAAAACCTTTAATTATTATGAGCTATGTTGAAAGACTGTGTTACATGAACGTAAACGAAAAATACCTTCAATAAAGTATTAAATGAAGTGAGATGGCATAGCGTTCTAGAGAAAAAGTTCGGTCGGAAGACCACTTGTTGCCTTAGCAACAAGAAACGCATCTAGTTCTTCTTCTTCTTCTTCCTCCAAATTTTGTCCAGGCCGTAACTTTAATACCCTTTGACATTAAGACTTCAAACTTGGAACATAGATAGATGACATTGAGAAGGAGTGCACGCCACCAACATTTTTGACCTTGACCTATTTATAAGGTCAAGGTCAATCTTTTACATCAAAATAGAGTTTAGCCCATAACTTGAGATCCCTTTGATATTAGGACTTCAAACTTGTAACATAGGAAGAAGACCTTGAGACAAAATGCACTGCATTAGAATTTTGACCTTGACCCCTTCCTGCCTTCAAGGTCAAATAGGGAAAAAACACGATCTGACCATAACTTGAGAACCTTTTGACATTAAGACTTCAAACTTGGAACATGCAGAGGTGGTATAAAGGAAGGATGCATGCCACCAAAATTTTTGACCTTGATTCAATTATTATAAGGTCAAGGTCAATCTTTTACATCAAAATAGAGTCCAAGCCATAGCTTGAGTACCCTTTGATATTAAGACTTCAGACTTGTAACATAGAAAGAAGACATTGATACAAGATGCAACACACCAAAATTTTTGACCTTGACCTCTTTTCTTCCTCAAGGTCAAATAGGGAAAAAACTTGATTAGACCATTACTTAAGAATCCTTTGTTATAAACACTTCAGACATGGAACATGCAGAAGTGGTATGAAGGAAGGATGCATGCCACCAAAATTTTTGACCTTGATCCAATTATTATAATGTCAAGGTCAATCTTTTACATCAAAATAGAGTCCAGGCCTTAGCTTGAGTACCCTTTGATATTAGGACTTCAAACTTGTAACATAGAAAGAAGACATTGTTACAAGATGCAACGCTTCAAAATTTTGACCTTGACCCCTTTCTTCAAGGTCAAATAGAGAAAACATGACTAGACCATAACTTGAGAACCCTGACATTAAGACTTCAAACTTGGAACATGGAGAGGTGGTATAGAAGAAGGGTGAATGGCAACATTTTTTCACCTTGACCTATTAATAAAGTCAAGGTCAATCGTTTACATGAAAATATAGTCTAGGTCATAACTTGAGAACTTTTTGACATTAGGATTCCAAACTTGGAACAAGGAAAGACAACATTGAGACTAAATGTACTGCATCAAAATATTTGACCTTGACCACTTTCTTCTGTAATTGTATTTTATTTTTGACGCATTCTTGAACTTGACTGTAATTTCTTGGCATTGGATTGTAGATTTTCAGCATGTTACATAGGCTGTTACCGGGGGGGGGGCTTAGCTCCCCCTCTTTTTTTGCAAAGATAGACATAATATAGGCATTGGAAATTGGGGCTTACCTCTTTTTGTTGGTTTAGCCCCCCCCCCCCTTTCAATTAGCCCCCTCGATTTCAATTTGCTTCCGACGCCTATGTGTACAAAATGACTTCACTATCGCATTCGTTTACAAACAGCACGGAGTTTTCCGAAAGTGACGGGGCTAGGGTAGTGACGGAGCTAGGGGTTTGGCGATAGATTACACAGGATTTCCGTGTACATATCGGTTTGAATTTGATGAAATATAAAACATTTTTGTGAAGTTTTTCTTTCAAATTTCACTCCTACAGTTCGACTTAGCAGAATTTGCAACATGAAGACTAAACTAAGAAAAAAATATTTTATTTCGGTTTTCTGATAAATCCTTTAAAACGCTATGCCTACAATCCAATAAAATCTTATTCAACAGTCTCGTTTGAAGTCATCTTTTCGCAAGTTTTACGGTTGATACAATGACGTTGTCAGCACATACAACCTATCATTGAGTCAAATGCTGACTGACGTTTTTTTATAATAATTGTTAGGCCATTATTTATACACTGAACTGTCAACGGATTTTTCCGGTTTTTTCCCGATCATGACAAGGAGCACACGGCGGGTGTGACCGGTTGGCAGGGGATGCTCACTCCTCCATGGCACGTGATCCCACCTCTAAATTTTGAGGCCCGTGTTTGCTCTGCTCCAAATTTGTATCGTTTCATTGGACTTTCCAATTTGAATACTGTTCGTTATCTTCATATTTCATTCACAAGTTTGAATATAATAAGATTCCTAATTCTGTTTATCGCTTTTTTATTTCAAGGAACAGTGTTGACATGCTTATCAAAATTCGAAAATTCTTTAAAAACGCAAAATTTAATCTTTCTTTAGTTTTGTCTTGGTACACAGATGCACAATACTAAGATGTATGACTCTGTTTGGTACATAGATAGACTATATATAGTGAGTTATATGACTGTGTTTAGTTTTGAAAATGTTCCATAATTACTTATTAAAACAAATCATTCTGTGAAATTCTTTAAAACACCCATCTTCCTACAATTCGTCTGATTTCAATGAGTCATGGTGCACCAGATCCGTAGGAAGCAATTTAAGGGGGGGGGGGGACACAAACCAAACCTTATCTGTGTACCACGTTTTACAACTTGTATCTTTTAGACTTATCTACAGGGACAATTGGTGAACCATTGTAGCTCACTGTAATTAACTTTTGCGAAGTGCATCATATTCTTGAGAACCTGGAACAATTCTCGGTAAAAATTAGTGAAAACAAATTAAATAATTGTCACAAAGTGTTGCAAACAGTCCACTTCTGTAGGAAAAGCAAATTCAAAGAATTGTGATCCCTCGCTTTCAGTGTCTTAGTAGATGGGATGCCATTATTTATGGTATATTGTAACTGTCTGGCTTGTGTGTCCTGTCTTGTCTGTGCATCATACAAAAAGACATAAATTATTATATTAATAACAGTTATAGCAAAGATATAGATTTTCAAAACTACATCAAACTTCAAGATCAAGTAATGAGGTCTTGTCATTATTAATGCATATGTGAAAATAAATGTGTCGTAACGCCACGAATGCCCCCACAGGCAGAAAAAAATTTCAAATGTCATATTTAGTTATAAACTTGCATTCGAACTTGACCTGTATTTTCTGGTAAAATACCTGCATATGCAATTTAAACCTCATAACCATATACCAGATTCGCCCCGTCTTAAATTTGCCCACTTGGGTCTAAGACTAAAGGGGCGAAAATAAAAACGGAGGCGAAAATTTCCCTGTATACAGTAATAGGACTAATCATGGCTTTGTTTGTCTTGTGAAGAAGAATTTTAAAGATTTCTTTCCCGGGGGTCATGATTTGAATCTACACTATGTAATGAGACTTTCACGTTTACATGTACCTTTTCTAGCCAAGTGGCTCTTGAGAAGAAGATTTTTAAACAAGAGGCGTATGGGTCACATCGCTCACCTGAGCACTTAAGCTACTGCTAGAGAAAAGCAGAAAACAGTTCAGTATTGAGAAGATTAAATATATAAGTGGCCACACCCTAACCCCTGGGGTGATGATTCGAAAACTGCCCCAAGATGCTTCTATATTAATAAGACTAATCGTTGCCTTGCTGTTCTTGAGAAGATTTTTATAAAGATTTTTTCCTATATACTTTGTTCCTTTATTGTGGCCCACCCTACTCCGGTGGGGGGGGGGGGGGGAATGGGGTCATGATTTGAACAAACTTGAATCTACACTACCTGAGGATGTATTACTACGATTAATCATACCTTTGCTGTTCCTAAAAACGATTTTTTTTTTTTAAAAAAATCATATTCCTATGTAAAATTTTGATCCCCTGTTTTGGCCCACCCTCCCCCTGGGGGTCATGATTTGAACAAACTTGAATCTACACTAGGCCTACTGAGAATGTTTTTGTATTAATATGACTAATCATGGCCTTTCTGTTTTGAGAAGAAGACTTTGACAGATATTTCGTTTCTATTCCTATGTAAAACTTCGATCCTCTGTTGTAGTCCCATCCTATTATGGGAATCAATATTTGAATCTACAAAAACGTACGGTGCTTCTGCATGAATATGACTAATCATGGCTTTTCTGTTCTTGAGAAGAATATTTATAAAGATTTTTTTTATATATTCCTACGTAAAACTTTGATGTCCTGTTGTAGCCAACCCTATCTCCGGGGGTCATGATTTAAACAAACTTGAATCTACACTATGTTATGAAGCTTTCACACAAGTTTCATTTTTTCTGACCAAGTGGTTCTTTAGAAGATTTCTAAAAGATGCCATTAAAATTTACACTAATCTTAATCACCCCCCTCCCCCGAAACAAACTTGAATCCTCTTTATCCAAGGATTCTTTGTGGCAAGTTCGGTTGAAATTGGCGCAGTGGTTCTTGAGAAGAAGTCGAAAATATGAAAGGTTTACAGACGCCACACAACAGACGACAGACAGAGGGATGCAAGACACTTTTCGACCAGAAAAGCTCACTTGAAGCTTCTGCTCAGGTGATTTTAAAGATGTCATTAATTTTCAATAATTCTTAATTATCTCCCTTGAAAGAGGACGTGGCCCATCTTGTGAACAATATAAATCCCCTTTACCCAAGGATGCTTTGTGGCAAGTTTGGTTGAAATTGGCCCAGTTGTACTTGTGACGAAGTCAAAAATGTATAAAGTTTACAGACACACGACAGAAATAGACAGTCGGATGGCAAACGCTGTTCGCTTTTACCTGAGAACGCTTCTGTATAAATATGACTAACCATGCCTATGCTCCTCTTGAAAAGAAGATTTTGAGAGATTTTTCCCTATATTTTTGTACGTAAAAATTGATCCCCTGTTGTGGCTTCGCCCTACCACCCCCCATCCCCCACCCCGGAGGTCATAATTTGGACGAAATTGAATCTGTACTAACATTAGGATGTTTTCATAAAAATATTACTAATCATGGATTTGTCGTTCTTGAGAAGAAGATTTAAAAAGATCTTTTCCTATATATTCTCATGTAAAACTATGATCGGCCACTGAGGTCATGAATTGAACAAACTTGAATTAAAAGTACCTGAGGATGTTTCAATATAAATAAGACTAATCATGACTTTCTTGTTCTTGAGAAGATTTTAAAGATTTTTTTCCTATATATTCCATTGTAAAACTTTTTAAAGTCATTATATATATATATATATATATATATATATATATATATATATATATATATATATATATATATATATATATATATATATATATACAAATATATACCTTCCCAATCCAAGGTACTTTTACATGGCACATGTTTTGGTAGGACTAAGGGAGATATGTTGCCAATGGTATCATTTGATAAAGTCTGTCATAGTATCTCCTAGGGCTGGATATCGGCTTGAAATTTCGTATTGCGATATTTTTAACTGTATTGGGATATGTATTACAGTAATTTAAATGACAATCAAAATGCCATTTTCCTATTTTATTAACCTCCATCTGTAAGCACAGTGTGTTACAAAACAGTTCTTGTTGATTTCGGTACAGTTTTGAAACGAAATGCAACCATACAACGGCAACCTTACCGTTTGGTACTGTTTGGCACGATTGAAAACGTTCCTGACATATTCAATTTCATATTTTAGTTACAAAATCTAAAGCCCAAGCAGTTTGCCGGTATATCAGTACTGGAAAAACGTATCGCAATACGATATTTTTGTTAACGAATTGCAATATACCGGAATACCGATATTATTGCGCAACCCTTATACTAGTATCTCCTTTCACATTCTAAGCAGTGCCCAATTCATCTTTTGGAATACCGTTATAATTGGTGGAGTTCTGTAGTTATACAGTAAGGTTTCGGAATTTCCGTTTAAATTCTACTGGGGTTCAAGTAGATGTGGAGGTCGAAAAACGACGTTATTCTCAAACTCCTGCTTCCCAGAACTTCTCAAACATTTTACGCAGTAGCCATATCTTCTTTTGACTTTGATTGATGGTGTCCAGTATATTTCAAATAAGGTTATGGGATTTTCATTTTTATCCAGAGGGATAACTGGGAGTCAAAATATGACGTTTTTGTGCAGAATCCTGGTTCCCTGAACTCCTTACAAGTATACATTTTACAGTAGCCACATCTATTTTTCTTTTTTTTTTTGGGGGGGGGGGGGTATGATTGGTGGTGTTCTGTAGATGTACAACAAGGACTGGAATTTTCATTTTATCATTAGAGCCTCTTAGGGGTCGAAAAAGATGTTTTTCTACAAAATCCTGGTTTTTAGAGTGCCTTGCCACTTAACGCACTCACAAAATCATCTCTTGGAATATGATTGGTGGTGTCGAGTAGATGTGCAAGAAAGTTTCGGAGTTTGATTATACCTACAATTTCGTCAAAATAAATTTAAACCCATCCCTTTTAGTTTAAAGTTTTTACACAAAAACCTTCTTTCCAACTTTTCCTCCTTTTAAAATAGTATTTATGTTTCATGCAAAATCCGGAGGGGATTGCTCTTGATCAACAAAGCGTCATTGTATTATGAAAGGTTAGAAATGAGGGTTAAAAACATCATTTTTTCAAACATGCAGTTGACGGTTCATATGAAAATGAAATCATCAATTAAAAAATAATATCAATAAAATTAAATAAGATCAATATGGCAAAATTAAGAAGAAAGAGAGAGAAAACTGGTACGTAAAAAGAAAAAAAATTCTGGAAATATAAACCTATTGTTTATGAAATTATACATTCTTATATTTTGTCTCCAGGACACAAAATACCGCCAGATAAGAATTATATATACATGAGATGTTGTACAAAATACTGGGTAGAAATAAGAGAAGCATAAGTCCCGAATGTCAGAAGTTTCAAGATACACTTACACCTTTTGCTATGATTTGACCATCTTAAATATTACATCTATATTTTATTGAATCGGTTCCGTAAGGCCATAGCGTATGTGATCTAACTAATATTCGACACGTATAACACTTCATAGATGCGATTTTCATGAGCAGTGGTCATTTACTTCTTGTAAAATTGGATATTTAAAAAGAACATGTTTGTTGGTGAAGTAGATGTATTCGTACTGTTAAATAGGATAAGTTCTCCGTCAGAAACAAAATCTTTATTAAAGATTTACCAAGACTCGGTCTCTCTTTAAATTTCGCTCTGGAAGTCCTATATACCCTTAATGATCTTGAATATACATTTTATCTGTTCTAAAACCTATATCAATTGACTGATTAGAAATCGACCGATACGCGTATTTCAAATTGATGCATACACTCAGTGAATAGATATTTGCAAGACCTTGTTTGTTTTTACCCAGACCGTTGCATGACAACGATACAAATATTCAAATTTTATCGATTCCACTTTAAGTGACAGTGTTTTTATAACAAAATAAAGTCTGTATCGATTTTCGTTAATGATATCGACATACTGTTACAGCTAGTGAGAACTTCGACATTAATGCCTTATTGCAATGTCTCTAGAGAAGATAAGAAAAAATAATTTGAATGAACAATTCCACTGAATTCCTGGCAATTCATATGATGGACGCTATTCTACTTAAAAGTTATAACCATTTTTCGTGAGCAGAAAATATTTATCACACTAGAGAGTACAAACCTAGATATTTTTTGATGAGATTTAAAGAAATTTGACAATTATTGATTAGACCCTTAAAAGCAATTGCAGAAAATGAATAATTAATTTGAACTATCGATCAGAATCGTAGAAACCTATTATTCCTCGCCATTCTACCAGCACATTCGATCGCATGGTCCCGGGACAAGCTGCTGAAGCATTGCTTGGTGTATCTGGCGGCAATCTATCGCAGTCCGCTTACGAAGGTAGAATAAGCTACCCGTTTCTGACTTGGCGTTCGCTAGAGACATAACAAACCATACCAAACTGACGACGAAGATGTCAATTCATCTGAGTTTTAGCTGATACTAAGAGACTAATTGAAAGTGATACATTTATCTTTAAGAAAAAGTTGTGAAAAGGAATTAAGATGGGAGGTTGTGGGTCGAAGAAAGCAAATCAGAAAGATCTTTTAATAGAGAGTATCGAAGCCCACGAAAAAGGCATCAATTGTATGGCTTTAAGTGAAGATGGTTCTGTCTTGGCAACTGGAAGTGAAGACAGATCTTTGCGTCTCTGGTGTACGAAAACCAGCCAGTGCGAGTGCATAGGGACGTTGCGAGGGCATGAAGATTACATCACTTGTATCCTCATTGAGGATTGTTACGTTCTGACCGGAAGTGCCGATAAAACTCTTAGAAAATGGGATGTAAGTACTCTGGAGTGCGTTTTGGTCTGCCGTGGACATACCTCAGTTATATACCGTATGATCTGTACAGGGGACTTTATTTTCACGAGTTCCTACGACAGAACGGCCAGGTGCTGGGATTTCGACAATGGGGAGTGTTTGAGAGTTTTCAGGGGACACAAACGAGGGGTATATCCCTTGATATTTATACCCGCAGACGACGATGAAATGGATGATGACGTTGATCCCGATGGAAGTAAAGACATTCTTATTACTGGATCAGCTGACTGTACGGCCAGGTCGTGGAATTTCGAAACAGGACAATGTCTAAAGGTATTCAAAGGAAAAGACCGCGACGGCAACAATGTGGGACATACAGGGGCGATAACCTGTATGGCTACAGATGCCCTGGGGAGAATTTTGTTTACAGGAAGCACTGACAATACCGTCAGGAGCTGGAACCTTCTGCGTGGGGAACAGTTAAAGGTGTTTTCCGGTCACACTGGCTCCGTCATCTGTATGCAGGTTGGTATCCCCTGAAACAGCTAGTTCAATTACATTTCAATTACATCTAGTTTATGTGTATGAGCGCAATATATGTTCATGAAAGAGTTACTGTGTTTTCTTCGAGTTCTCACCCTCTGATGCCCGCAGAAGAAAACTCGTATACAGAGATGTACACAAAAGCCTTCATTTTGTTTGTCATATCCTCAGGTACCGCGTTCATTTACTTTTCAATCTCCTCAAATACTAAAATCAAAATGCATAAAACGAATTTCAAGATTGTAAGAACTAGATTTAATTTCGATTTTGTTAGATCAGTTCAATAAAGACCAAGGCATTTGTGGAGTGCCATGACTAGAAATTTCCGGAATACAAACATTATTTCATATGTAAATGATATAATTATTTAAAATCCCGTATTTAATCTCTGAAAAGGATCTAAAGTTCGTTTTAAGTTTTATGAACATGTATTTAATTATGACTGCATAAATTTTTACATAATTTTTTGTCCCTGAATTCAATGACATATTACTATTTTCTCCCTACTGTATTATACGTGTTTTCCAACATCTTACATTCTTCATTCACATTATCAGTTCAATAATACATATACATAAAGAATGCAGTAATAGTTGCAATTATGAATAACGCACACGCATGTAATCCAAAACCAGCAAATTCCATTGTTGACCGACCCAGCATTCCATGAATTCTTCTAAGTTCTACTTTATAACTGCGCGCTGCAGGGAAAGGCATCTCAATATCCGGTACATGAAAATAATGACAGGACGCCCGATGAGGGAAAGGGTGTATAATTGCACTGTCGTTTACCAGGATTATCTTTTTTTATCTTTTATTTTCAGGGTAGCATTCATCAATTTTTTGTGCGTTAAAAATAAAAGGTTTACTGTTCAATTGAGACAAAGAATACGTAATTAGTATTGATTGGAATTTCATCAATTAAAAGACCACGTAAAAAGCGAACAATTTACACAGTAAAAAATAAATACAGGGTTTCCTATCAAACTCAAATGTATTTTAGTATGCTCCAGTTCAACCTGTTTTCCATCTTCTTTCTTTTATTCCTAAGAATAAGCAAAAGTATTAAGTACTCTTAAAGCAATAAAGTAAAATTCGGTTATAAAGAAGACACATGGACCTCTGATTTTGCTTCCTGATAATCGAGATTCTTTATATCCGTATAAGGAACATAGTGAAAAGTCTTCTACGGGATTTTTAAAAAAGTTTCCTATAACCGAAATTCCTTTTAAGCGAGTTCTTTATAGCTGAGTTTTACTGTACAAACTTTTCAGCTCACCTGACCTATAAAAAAACATGAGCTCACTTGAATTTTTCTGGTCTATCATAAACTATTCAGCTTTTGTCTTCAGATTCCCAACAACAATTAAACCGTATACATGTAATCCGTAAGACCATACTAAAACAACCAAAGTTTATCGGTTGTACACTTGAAAAAAAATCAAGTAATTCTGAGACTAGTGAATCGTCGTCATTCAGCTTAGATTCAAGTATATTTATTCTAAAAATACTAGGAGGAGAGGCCGTGAAGGCTTTAATTTGTCTAAATCTGGTGTTACTCAGGTGATCATTATTGCCCACGGGCCTTCTATTTTTCACGCTTTTACAGTTATATCAAACTTGTTGAAAATTAACCTTTTTCGCAGTGTTTTATGGTCCCAAAAATAAACATCAAAAATGAAAAAAAGAACGTTATGTTTCCTGACGACAAGTAAACGGAGAATCAAGATAATTATTATAGTATGACATTTAGAGAGCTTCTAATAAATTGATGTACTTGTGTAATTTTTGACCTGAATTAAATATATTTTCTTTGATGTAGCAGTGTAAATCTGACTATTAAAAATATACACAATATGTAATTTCTTTCCGAGTCGGGAAGAAAAGTTTGAGGCAAATTTGTTTTGACCGGTCACACTCCAGGTTTTGAAGAAGACTTTTGGAATTTGGTCTCCTGCACAAAGATTTGAAAGATAATTATAGCAATTTTAAACAGGGAATATTAATATCGATATAATTTATTAATTTATTTTGATTTATATCAAATACCGACAATTTTCGCTAGAGATTTGTATTTATGAATTATTTTGAAGGTCACCTGATCTGGCATATTGCTATCCATGTTTGGTCGTCGTTCTCTTTACGAATCTCTCTTTTCACCCTTTTGAGTTCTCCATAACTACCAAACCAATCATATAGAGAATGATAACGTATAAGAATGGATCTAACTTTTCCTTCAAATTATGACAGGAGCAGAAATAGATAAAGGCTCCGCATTTTTTTTTACCAAGGAAATGCACAAGAAACAAACCATCAAACTTCTCAGGAACACCATTTTAGCCTATCAAATTGATATACAAGAATCCTGATATATATATATATATATATATATATATATATATATATATATATATATATATATATATATATATATATATATTTGTGTGTGTGTGTGTGTGTGTGTGTGTTAAATTCATTATGCACGATGGGGAAGAGATGGGCGCTGATTTGAAGACCCCTGTGGTTTTAAAAAGGATAGAATAAACAAAAATGGGGGGGGGGGGGATACCAAAAGAAGCTTCTTAGACAAGCAGCTTTGTGTTACCAGGTGATTGTTTTGGACAACAGGCCTCTTTTTCTATAACACAAGTGAATCCCAAAGAAATATTTCTGTTGATCATAGTAATCAAGAGGCACTAGTATTGAATTATAGAAATTCTATAATATCCGCGTATGTAAATCAGTATATAATATCCGTGTATGTAAATCATTTATATACAATTACGTTTATTTGAAATGTCATGTGCTAAAGGTTTTCTGATCGGGGCTGCTTCCATTTTCTATTGTTTTTTTTTTCTATTTGATCTATTTCTTCCATAAATTATACAATAAATCTTGCAAGATTCCTTCAGATTTGTTCGTGCTCTTTGACAAAATTTTACTTAAATTTTTAATCAGGAAAACTTAAGTTTTTGTGTGTTTTTTTTTTTTAAAGATAGTACTATCTTAACAAGAAAGTGGGCGTTGCATTATTCAAGTGAAATCATAGGGTATCTATCTCTATACAATTTTGATGTTTCATAATAAAAATGCATGTCATTTTGTGTCCAATACATAAAACAATATGTGTCCGATGGACATGTTTTGATGATTTCTCCTATTTTAAAAAAAATTTTATTTTGCAATTTCATAAATGACCTTTGACATTATCGTGTCTGAACTCTGTAATTACTTCCTGGTTTCTTTGACCTAAAATACTAACACAGTGATTCTCCTGGTTCGTTCTCTTGGGGATGACACATTGCAGCTCAGGGGTAAATTGTCACACGTCAAATCTCAAGATCTATCTTGTCAATAATCCAGCACTGAAAATTGATATTACTTGTCTTTAATAATTAATGCCATGTTAGGCTCTGATCAAATAATTGTCTGATTATGTGCTACGTGGTAACATCCATATCATAGAGCGACATAATACAAATTTTTCATAAACCTCTTCTTTGGTTTTTCATTAGATTAAAAAAAAAATCATATTTGCTGTTTAAAAAAAAAACCCCTGTAATGGAGTGTATGTTGTAATATAGCTTAAAACTCATGTAACATCTTATGTAACTTGCATGCTTAAATAAATTCAATATCCATTACCTTGTTTAGAAAATAAATAATTCATCTCAGCAAACTGGAATTAAGTAACTCATAGTATATACCTAAAGAAAGGAAACATATTAATAAAATACGTAAATAAAACTTTTAACTGTTTTCTGTCCAATGGATGGCAGTTACCGTATCTGATATTTTTTTCTTTTATTATTGCCAAATTTAGATGAAAACATGTATTATATTTTTAATAACTTGTGATACTTACAGTATGCTTCTTGAGAAAGTTTTTTTCCTACCCATGATCATACTGTGCCCTGTTTCCTAAAAATCACCTTATTTCGGTTCTTCGTAAAATTTAGCAAGAACACCAATCTTTTTAGAACTTTTTTTTCTTTTTTGCATATCTGCATACAAACTTTCAAACATTATTAATCGCAATTTTCAATGAGAAATATTCACGTATTTCAAAATTCTGCAATTATGCGCATTACACGGGCATTCTTCAGAATACACTTACATATTGAATGGTTATTTTGTTGATAAACAGGAAAACTATATCCATTTTAGTGTATTAATCAGCATGATACATGCATACAAATAAATAAAAAAAGGAAATCATTTTTATCTACAAATTTCAAGCATAATCCCACGAAAAAATAATACTCTTTAAACAAATGACTCGTTTAAAAGGTTTCTAAATGAAAATAATATTAAGAACAAAGAAATAATAAGAAATAAACCAAGAAAACAAAACAAAACAAACAAACAAGAAGGAAAGCAAGTAAACAAAACAAATAAAATTCTTCTCTACGACTGAATATTTCATTTTTGTTGTAAACGTGGACTTAAGAGAGTTGCATTATAGAACACTTTTTCAGCCCTCTAAATTCTAAAATTATCAAATGCTTGCTTCCAGTTTCAAAAACTCTAAGATATAACTAAAATAGTACATTAAAGTACATTAAAAATTCTTCGTAGAGTCGAACTCCCACTGTCTAAAAGGCAAACAATTCAAACCACTGGAAAACTCTGACACTCCTTGAAACTTATCATTAGACGGAAAACGGAACTGACATTTAATTCTCCATAGTGACGTACTTCCGTTCGAAATATTATGACATCGTGTAACATCTCTAACTTGAACCAAACCCAATACTTCATTATTAGTTTATTACTTAGTCAAAGGAATAAGATTTTCAGACGTAAAAAGAAAACTGAAAATAATGTTATTTAAGAATTCAATCACTTTTTTTCTGTGAAGGTGCATTGCCTATACGCACACGGATAATTTCTGAACAAAGTTCCAACAATGACCTTCAGGAATTTAAACAAAAAAATATGTGAACCAAGTAGAAAAAACGAAGATTATAAAATAAACATTACAGGTAGAAACGAAACACACTTTTTTCTGTAAAGCTACTTAAACGAAGTTCTGACAAAGACCTTCAGTAATCAAAAATGTATAAACCAACCAGAAAATGAAAATTTTGAAATATACGTTATAGATATATAGAAATGAAACAATCGATTTGGATTTGGGTCCTTTTGTTGAATATTTGATCAAAATATGACGACGTCGTTAATGAGCTTCCTGATCACAGGGATAGGTAACTTAGGTATTAATGTAAACGTGTAAATTCAATTGATTCTCGTCAAATACGAAGAGACAAACATAATTCATTTCAAATATTATACACAATAGAATTATATCATTGAAATATACTTAATTTGAATTTACGTACTCTTACACTTGTGTCGTAAGTTTTATAAATTAAAAAAGGAAATTCTTGATATTTGTTTTTCTAGTAAAATAATGTCACTTAGAAGTTCCCAATATACGTAGATTTAGTTTTCATAATGATCTGTGTATTGTGCTGGATGATGAAAAAGCTGTCGATAATCATTAAAGCGGACAAAACAAGAACTCTGTATTGATGGGCATTAGTGGCACTTTATCATGCCGTACCTGTGTTTCAATATACCTATAACCAAGGTGTGACGATGTGATCAATACTGTCTCAATTATAGCCCATCGATCGACTAGTTCAGCAATGGAATGATTTGGATGCCTTAAAAGCTCCGGTCTTTGTTTCTTGTTTTCAATGCCTGTCAAAGCCCCCATCCACATTTCATTGTTCTTGTGCTTGACGTACGTCCTGGTTCTTGATATTCTAAGCTTACATTCTAAGGAGACATTATATTTCTTGTAATTGAAAATCCAATATATTCAAAGACTCCGCAGATTTTTGTCGAGCCTTTCCTACCGACAAACTCAGCCAGAACCATTTATCGCAATTTTTACTGAGAAGCTTGAAACATTACTGAATTCCTTGTATTGAAGACTGGTTGTTGACACAACTTTGTTTAAAAAAAAAAGAACCGTCTGAACCAACATAAAATTTAAAATAAACTCTTCTCTAAAATTAAGGAGGCTCATTACACTCATAGTTTTTTTCATATTTCATTAGAGCACCACTTATTATGTAAAATGACAATACTTCATAATACATGTACACAATATTTAAAAAAAAAAAAACAACCAACGTGCTTTTCTTCTTAATCAATGAATAACTTTGGAAAATCAGTTATAGAAAAGAAGTGCATGTCAATGAATAAAATGTAACAAATTAAATGAAAATGTTATAACAAAGGGAAAATTTAAAATTTCAAAAATAGTTGGTATAAAAAATACACTTGCAAGAATTATCTTTCCTAATCCTCCCCTTGACCCGAGACACTAGGGGAATTTTGAACATCTAAAATTCAGAATAAGGTAGAATTCCTAAAAAAAAATATATATTCAACAAAAAATAAGAAAACTGCGTAAATCAGCAAGAGTACTGTATATTTTGAAAGTCCATTACAATTTCTTTAAACAATGTTGTAGATTGCACTCGAATTTTCGCCAGACGTACATGTTCTCAATAATTGTAGAGTTCGTTGCTTTCGCTATGGCATTGATCATCACGTGTGGAGAAGATCTGGCTGTCCTTCTCTTTGGTCACTGATTAATAAGATTTCTACCCCGTCTATGGTTCATGCTGTATCCTCTATGTTTTCAATATTAATGTTTGTGTGATCTCATGTTTAGTCTTTTGTCGTTAATTACCGTGTTCCTTGGAAGACGGTTTACAGAGTTGAAGTATATCACATGCAATCTTCGGAGTATGCACTTCCATTTTCATTTATTTCATTGGTTGAAATATTTACTGTTCATCGCAAGGGAGATAATTTGTTCGTGATAATAAATTTCGCACAAGATTTTCAATCTTATGAAAAAAAAATCGATAAAACGAACAAAAGAAAATTGCAATAAATGAAACTGACACTCATCTTTTATAGCAATTATTAAAACTCGTTTCTATTTTTTCATACTCTACAGAAACGTTTTTTGTGCATGCGAACGTTACAATTTGTGTTTTATTCTTTTTTCTTTGCTGTGCTCGGTCATTGATGTCTGTGAAAATCTTTGAAGAAGTACTGGACCAAAACTACTTAGTTAGAATAATTCAGCATGATACATAGATGTATATATGTCAATTTACTGTTTAAGGTTGTTCCTAAGGACGGCAAAGCTTTTTGAAAAAAAGTGACGCTTGTGAAGAGAACAAGTACAATTCGTTCCTACAAAAAAGCCAAAACGACGGAGGTTTACATTTTGTGTAGTACGTCATCAAAACGTGTTGTAATGCGCTACCTTAAAGAGAACCCTGTCTTTCGGATCAGATTGATCTATTGATTTATATTTAGATCGATAATCTGCAAAAGCAACTGTAGCTAAATCTTTTGATAGATTCTGAACTTTTTGCATTCTGTTCACTGACATAGAATGAGGCTACTTATGGTCAAAAAAGGTCGGGTTCGTTTGATCAGTTTTAGAAAAGTTACTATAGAACTATGCAGTAGAGGGACCTTTATTTAAATTATGCACAGAAATGTAGCTTAAAGCTTCAATCTCCATACACGTTTTAGTACACGAGAAAGCAACACGAGGTTTGGTAAATCACAGACACTTTTATAACTGTGCGTCTTGACAACTGCATGCAATACCAGGAATGGATGCCTAGAACTATGGAACTATGTATTGTTTCTGACAGAATATTTGGGTGTTATTTTAACTATGAAACTTGTTTTGATTGTTAATTAGCACTAGTATTTAAAATCCTTATACCTTCCAGCATGCATGTGGTTTCATACTGAAATAATAATTCACTCTGTATTGGTATACTTTTGTGAGTTTTGTCCACAAAAAATGCTAAAGAAAATATTAATAGTTTATTTTTGGTCAACTTTCTGTTGTGAAATGCAGACTTTTTTAACCTGATGCCTAAATAATTGAAAAAAGTCAGAAGACCGCTTTAGGGTCATTATGTAGTATACGGAAAAAATTATATGGGTTAACAAAATACTCCAAACAATATAAAGCTGATACTGAGTACACGTGGTTTATAGGTATATATTGGTTTTGTTTTTCTCTGATTGGATTAGATTTAAAAAAAAAAACTGTTCTCCCATTTATCCCTTTTAGTTTATATATATTTCTCTAGATTCTACGCATCATTTTTTTTTCTTTTGTGCACGGGATTACTCATAGGAATTGCCTTTTGTTCAATCATATTCATTTACACGAACAAAGTATTGTTTAAAAGTATTCATTTAAACTATTTTTTTTAATAGAAGAATAACAAAAACAGTTCAGTGTAAACAGATCCGTTTACATCGTTCAACGACCTTCGAAATTGTTTTTCACTCCATCAAACATAATTATTTGATGGGCTAGGCCATTTATTTGTTTTTATTTCCCATGATAACAATTGTCTTCTGCACTGTATAATGTATACGAAGAAATACCCCATTACGTATTCCTGAATCGCTGATATTAAGCTCTAAATATGACACTTGAGAATGACAGGTGTATTCAGATTATTAACGAGAAAATAATTTATTTAAAATTCATGTTATCTATTTCACCGACATGTTTCCTTGACCATCTACAATTGCTTTCTTACAATTTCTTAATAACTTTTGGTAATCGAATTCGATACTGTTTTAGGGTGTAAATAATGTTTAATTCCTCTTGTATTCATTCCAGTCTGAAAACACGAGTGTCATGTATGTACAACTTGTAATTCTTTTTAAAGCAATATGAGCTGCAACTTTGATGTCGGGAATTTTTTTGGCAAAATTGTTATTATCTATTTCAATGGCAGAAAAAAGAACGTTTATAAACTTCTGCTGTTCATATTTGCGGTGAAAGAACTATTTAGAAGCTTTAATTGAAGCAAAATTACATTATTGTCGTCCTGTACAATATTGATTTCTTATATAATACTATACTTTCCATTGTACAAAAATCTTTCTTCTGAAAAAAATACTTTATTTTGGTTTAATTGATCATAGAAGTTTAAATTACATACAGATTTATCATAACAGCACATTTTAACAGCAAGATAACATTCTCAAAAATGCAGCTCATATTGCTTTAAATATACATGTAACTATACACTCCCAAATTCTTGAATAATGAAATTATCGTGAAAAATCTCAGTGTTTTCTTTTTTTTCTTGCAGATTGTAAACAAGATAATGTACACCGGAAGTTCCGACCATACTGCGCGTGCATGGGTGACTGAATTCGGTGATTGTACCAGGATATTCAAAGGTCACAAACACACAGTCAGTGTCATTAAGGTCAAGGATGGACTAGGTATGATTTAAAAATGTTCTAGTTCTAGATAATCGACCTTTATAACATCAAAGAAAGGGTAGATAACTGTGTTATTGCCTCCACTGAAAAACTGATCTAACGATTACATATATAAATGTATGTAAATGTTTATACGTGTATTTGTTATGCTTTACAGTGAATAAACATTTAATTCCGAATTCAAAGCATATTTACTGACAGTTTCACTGCAAGGTTTATGCAAATATTCACTAATATAATTGCATTAAAGTTTTAGTGACCATTTCTGCATGATTACGTCAACGTCTTTTACGTTTATACTAATATATCCAATCCAAACTTTTCGGCTTTGAGTTGAAAAACAAATAACTATGAATCAAACGTCTACTTTGCCAGGCAGATATGAAAATGAATATGTATCAATGACTGCAAAATGCTTAAAATTCTTTTCCTTTAGACAGTACTAAAGGTAAAACTGAAACTGTTACTGTACTAACATACACTTCTGCATGTCAAGGACCATAATTTAAAAAAAAAGTTTCTCAGGTTGACCACATTCCTTAAACATCATATAAGCAGTTTAACTTTCACAAGCCTAACAGGTATTCATTTTCCAATTCTAATGTCTCTTCATATTAAACCTGACGAGCAATCAGTAGGATCTAAGGACTCTTGAAAGCACGATGTTTTTTCAAGCATCCTTTGTGTTTGTGTTCAAATATTGAAAGCGACCCTTGGGGCTACAAAAATGTACCGAGATTGGATTTCACGTTATAGGATATGTACAATGTCATTTAATAAAAAATTAGAACTAACATTCCTGACATACCACGCTATTATTATTTTTATTTAATTATTATGCCGGAGTCTAGCATCTCTAGCCAAATAATGAGCGCAAATGCAACAAAATAAGTGTAAGTAGTTAAAAAAAATAGTAACTATCTCTTCTTAAGGAGGAATTCTTGTCTGGTTTCTGACTAGACGAAATATTCCAAGTATATTTGCTTGTATGTCTTATAAACTTAGCTGTAATGTATTTAAAAGATCATATTTTTCTTGACTCATCATAATTGTACAATTTTAAATAGAAATGGTAAACTGAGTTTGAAATCCATAAGGGACTATATTTTTAACGCAACTGCGGCGTATGAAAATATCTACTTTTCTGCCTATCAAAATCACTCACAGAACATAACATGTGGTTAATTTTTTTAAACAATCAAAGACTTGAAGAAATTTTTATATGTAACTAAAATTAATAATAATGCCCTAATGTTTTAAAACATAGCAAATAAAAATGATTTCCTAGACAAACTGCAATCTTGTTAGCTTTTGAAAGCCTCTAATCTTAAAACAGATTTTAGCAAAAAATCAGTAAAAAGTTTTTTTCTCTCTCTTAATAAACGGTCAAAGCTTTTTGTTTTTGAATCATTTTGTATATTTATATGACTACTTTACCATATGTAAAAATAAGAAATATTTAAATATAAGAAGTATATAAAAATAACTAATATATCCTAAAAAATAAAAAAAAACAGAGGAAATCCGGATTAGCCTATATATATTTAAGTTAAATAATGTCAATTAATTTGGTAGAATCATCTGATAGACCCGATATGGTAACATATTTTTGTGCAAAAAAGAAAAACATTTTATCTTTTAAAATAGAAGTAGGCAACACATAATTAGCAACAGTAATTTTTTACTTTAAATGTCAAGGAAAAAGATAATGACCTTGACCTGACCTTGTTTCTAAAATGAAACGGTCAAATTTAATCTAATTGATACCATCACTTAGTGATATTGTCTACTTGAATCTATGAAAATTTCATTAATTTTTAAATACAAGAAATATGAGTAGAATAAGAGAAGAATCCCTCCTTAAAGAAAGGTTAGTACTTGCAAAGGATACTGGATAATTTGATTTTAATATTCATGTTGAGAATATTAATAAGGGGGAATTTTGTGGGTATTAATTATAAATTTAAGATGAAGATAAAAGCTGCTCTATAATTTCAGTTTACACAGCATGCGGAGATGCATGCGCAAGAGTTTTTGATGCAAAGTCTGGGACTTTGAAAAGAGAGTTCAAAGGTCACAATAACACAGTGACAGCTTTACAGGTCCGTTAGCGATCGTCGTTCATGTATATTTTTTAACTAGAAAATTACTATTTAGCTTTTTATAGATGTCTACAGCTTCTCTTTAGACTTTATCTTTCACATTAATACCTCTTGTAGTTTCTATGAAAATTAATCTTGCAAAAGCATTTTCTTAACTTTCGAGTTTTTCTTTAAATGTCTAAGGATAACGTGCAAAATAATTCACGTTCAATAAATTTTTTTTTCTAAAATGTTAACTCATTTATTTGTGCAAGATAAATTTTCGGCAATTAGATACTTTTGATAAATTTCTGAAGAACTTGTATCTCTATCATTGCCTCTTTAAGTGTACACGGGTTCGGGTGATTGTACGATAAGAAGCTACGATGCCAAATCAGGCGATATGAAAAAAGTATTTATTGGTCACGACTTCGCAGTTACCGCCCTTGAGGTAACGACCGCTATGTTGCAAAGTCAAAGCATGTTGGATAATGTGTTTGTCTGATGCATGCTGGGATAATGTTTTTGTCTGATGCATGCTGGGATAATGCTTGTGGCTCTTGTATGTTGCAAGCTTGTCATATATTGAAAACTGTTAAAGAGGGTTCATAAAATAGTATGCAACTATCATTGAACTGCTTTTTTGCTGCATAAAAGCTACTAATAGTGTGTTTAATATTAATTCCTGATTTTACAATTGGTTGATTGCACCATTTTTGAATTATCACACTATCAACCTTATAACATTTCCTGCAAGCAAATAGTAATTGCACTGTTGTTAATTGTATATGTTGTATTTATATTGTATGCACATCTTAATTTTCTTGTAGTAAAGGTATTGTATATCATAAAGTACTTATGATACTAGTTTTGACCATTTAATATATATAAAAATTTAGACAACTTAGTAATTTCTCTGTTAACATGAAAAAATGATAAAAAAAAATCATTAAAAAATATTCTACCAAAAATCAAAGATTATTGCAGTACTGGTACTTAAAAACTTTTTTTGAGCATTACTGTAATATCATATCTCAATTTGTGCAACCATATAGGTAGTTGGCGGGAAACTGTTCACTGGGTCATATGACGGATTCCTGAAAGTCTGGGACGCAACCGGAATCAAGGATGACACAACATTTGGAAAAGATGAGAACAAGAACGAAAAAGAGAAGGTCGAAAATCAACAGAAAGTGGACAACAATCAAAACGGAATCGACAACAAGATCATGATTGACTGACCGTAGCATTGATAAATCTTAGGTTTGGTACAAAAGCTTTGCACATGTTGGACACGTTCAATGGCATAATGGAAAATGAAAGAAATATATCTTTGACAAAGTGGTTATTTTTTCCTGATGTGTAGAATTGTTATATCATGTATATTTATATATGTAGAATGATTACCACATTTAGATGTGTTACTACACTGTCAACTTCATTATAATATATTGACATATATTCTGTTTTGATTGTTGACACACAAGCTCCTTTTTGTCACGACTTATGGAATAATGGCTTTGAGAGCACAAGAGTTCATGTATTGCTAAATCCCTAAGGAAACTTAAAGTGACTAGTATATTTTATGCTTTCCAGAATATTGCAATCCAACAAGATTTACAAGGATTCGTATTTGTCAAATAAAGCATTTAATAATTCAATGCATCCTTTTTGCATGGGCAGAGATACGGATGTAGGATTTTGTTTTAATTAACAATATACTGAGTATCGATGACAATCCTTTTCACTTCTCTTTCACTAGTTGTTTTCGTTGTGCAATATTGTTTAGCTAGCGAACTGAGACAGATTTTCGCAGCAGGAATGATTTGTATCACGGTCTACTACATTATATGAATTGACCCCGAGCACTAGCTTCATCAATAATGAACTATTGTATCGATTCATGCTGTGCAGTCTGAAGCTGTATTGCATAATCCCGATTGATTTATGTTATTCAGTACTTAATTTTGTTATGAATGTTTACACAAGTACATGTTTTCATACAATGTTAATTATTTCCTAATGTATTCATTTATTTATTGCAATATAATTTTATTACTTTTATTTAGAGTTCTGGGTACATATGTAACCCAAATTATACCCTCACATTGTTTCTGATAATGAATGAACTTTGTATCTCAAAACAAACCGTCCTTGTGAATAATGTAAATGAAAAACGTTCTTTGACAATCGTGTTGAAACCTGTAGTACCGTATCATGTTAAAAGTTTTGAAGGATTTTTTTTCTTTTGTCAAAAGGAATTGTATAATGAGAGAGATAGAAGAACATATAGTGGGTATATTAAGATTATAAACCGTTTCAAATATTTATAGCATGTCAAATATGCCGTCCATTGAAAGGAATATTATTTCAAATTATTAATATAAGCATTATACAAACTTTTATCGAGAAAATAGTCTATAACGTATTTTGATAAAAGGAAGTGTTACCTTTGTATGTAATTTTGGTCATGATCATTTGTGTAAGACATGAACACAACTGAATTGTGAAATTATTATAATCTCTATTCAGTTGTCTTTAAATACTGTATGCATTTACCTTGGTATGTTTTTGCTCCCTATATTTGTACGAATAGAATAAGCATGTTTTACAGCTCTTTTTTTTTATTAAATGAAAATGTTTATTTACAATTATGTACTGATCGAAAATTATGTCAAGAAATATTTCATGTTAATTTTCTCTGTGCAATTATTGCAGATTTTGCTGACATTTCAATTACTTTCTAATACGGACACACCTTCGTCAAAGAGAGACAAGGAAAAAAGTTACTATATTCGCAGTAAAAAGAATGTTGACATAATTTTCATCTCTTTCAGCACGCAGTAGTTCCTTACCATTGTGTCAACAGATAAATAACTAATCGTTCGTAATTATTTGTCAAAGAATTGAAAAAAAAAATCAGAACACGATATTATCCCGCACCAGTAGCATCAAACTACAAATGATCACCGATTCTTTTTTTTTAAATTATACACAGGTATTATGTATAGATATGTGTGTGTGTGTTCTTAGAGATTGGTTGTTTTTCTTGCAGTTTTCTGCTAAAGTATAAAAAAAAAAATTGTGCAATACTAGTATCGAAATATTTCCTATCAAATATACTGATCTCTGTATTAACATAGAAAGTATCAATATCATATACATATTTTGATAACTGAAACAAGAAAGAAACATTTTTAAATAGATAAAAGGCACACTTAATTTGTACAACTATTTATGTTGCGTAGTTAGAGCAAGATCACTAATTTTCAAATGTCGTGAATTCGTTGTCCTTCTGTGAACTTATACTGCTATATAGACTGTGATATTATGCTAGAAAATTTGAGGAACCATTGAAGACATATGTTCCGATCAACATTTTTTTCTTGTTATCCTCTATTTTGTGATAAATAAATGTTAAACTGCAACCTTTTTTTATTTTCGTTCATGGTGAAAGAAGTGTTGCATTTTCACATTACGTTCTCCAAAATCATTGCAGTTCCGAGGACAGATATGAAGTATATTTTACTTCAATCTACAATAATATTTTTGTGCAATACATGTCGTTTATTACATAAAAGTGTGAAACAGAGGATTGGATAATCTCTTAAACCCTGCTTTGAAACACTCTGCAAAACTATTCTTTTAGAAGTGGAAAAATCCTTTTACGTAAAATACTTATCATTAATAGAGCGCTCGCTGCTCGATCGGGAGGTCGTGTGTTTAAATCACTGCCGCGACTGACCTAAATCGATAAAAAATATAGGTAGCAACTTTTTCTTCGCCAAGCGCTCAGCACATTGAAGTTAAAGTTGCGGGTCATTTGGACGAGACCTTAAAAACCGAGGCCCCGTGTCACGGTGGGCGTTGGCACGATAAAGAACCCTCACAATGGCCCTAAGTGCCGAGTAAAGGTCACTGGTATATGGTGACGTGTCTATATGAGTGAACAATTCTCGAAAACAGACTAAAACAACATGTAACACATCATAAAGTAACAACCAACATCTTGTGATGCAAAAACATTATTTTAGCATGAAACATATCGGTGGCGTTTTATACTGATCATCATGTGTAAATGGTTTATTGTCGAGGGTATTTCATTTGGTTCCCACGAGTTCGAATCCTACGGTAGTAGTATAAGGGGTCTGGATGGGGGGGTCAACTGAGTGCACTTTTGTCCCCCCAGATCCTGGATAGGGGGGTCAACTGAGTGCACTTTTTTTTGGGCCCCAGATGACCGGTTCAATCTAGTATACACCCTGGAAAAACCCAAGTAAAAAAGGGGGGTCTACGTTTGATCTACGTTTTGTGCTGAGTCAGGTATAGGCAATACACACAATCTTGGCATCAATTCAAGTATACCATTGTGACGTCATATGTGTCATTCACACAGAGCTCTATTTTCTGAAAACGGAAAAAACAATAACACAGTCAAAAAGTGTGTAAGATGATTTATTCAAGTAATGTACATAATATTTACTTTTTCTTCTGGAGTTTCAGGGTCTTCTCCGTCTGGGTAGTAGGAAGTTTCCTCTTGTTGTTAGCCTGTTTTTGATCCTGGGGAGTGGTCTTATGTTGGGTAGTCTTGTTTTCTTGTGCCTTTTTCTCCAGTTTTTCAACTTCTTTGAGTAATTCCATACTGTCATCTGTACACTGATGGGCCCAATGTCCAAAATTTCCACACTTGTAGCATAAGTTCTGTTTTTTTCTGGGACAGTCCGGAGCCCAATGTCCTAATTCTTTACATATGAAACATGGGTCTGTCTGTTTACTTTTCTTGGCAGCTCCTGTATCTTCATTTTTCTTGGCAGCTCCTGTGTTTTCATTTTTCTGGATTCCTCTCATTTTTTCTTCCATTCTAGCGACTTTAACTTCTAATCGGGACAATTTCCCACGAATCAAACAAAATTCACTGGTGTTGTACTCTTTCAGTTGAGTCAGCATGTTGACAATGCCATCCAGAGTGGTGGTTAAGATGCCCATATCTTCCTTTGTCATGGGTTCAGGCATATTGTAAAGTCCCAGATCAAATCCGATGGGATCCTGCGTGTCAGGCATTGTCGGTAGAGCATATCCTAACCCTTCATTACTAGCTGGAATATAATTACGATTTTCCACGGAATTCATCATTGCTTGTGCCATATTTCTACGTCTGTATAGTACCAAGTGCCCAATAAGAATGATCCTAAATTTTCAGTTCTGGTTTATATACCCTTTTGAATTTCGTGTGCAAAAATAGGTTTGACTTACGTTTTAGACCCTCGCGCTTAGCACCCTCTCTCGTTTTACCTACGTTTTGCTGAGTCAGTACATTGCTGAGTCAGTACATTGTACGTTCTGTGTACGTCTTGTATAGATAACAGGGGTATAAATAAGAAAACATTTCTAGTCATTTCTTCACAATTGATTATCATGTCAACACATAAACACACTCACTCTTTAGTGTTGGAAGGGTATGATTTTTTAATGCGATGTATCGAGAAAAATCCAGCAGCTTTACCCCCGGAGGCGGAACCAGTGTTCCAGAGAGCGACGACCATCATAGAAAATACTCAGGACTTGTGGTTACAATGCCTGGCTTTATTACATCATCCGACACTGGGGAGACTAGCCATTATACATTTCCTTTGTCAACGGATCAAAAAGACTCTACCAGAAAAAATGTACGGGATGAAAATGAGCGACTATTTAGGAAAACCTTACAGTTTCCTATGTCATCCCGAAGGGAGCAAAGTATGTCTACTCTGGAAGGAAATAGAAGCGGTAGAGAAAATATGCATCCAATACGGGATGAAATATGTAGAAATTTCAGACATGTTAAGAAATGTGTAACTTTTGATACCAGCCTGAATGAAATTTATCATTTACCACCCGAAGATCGAAAAAGTCCATGGATGGCTATAGTAGCCGATCGATTACGATTTCAGAGGAGAATTCGACAGTTTGAACAATTATTGAATAAAAAATAAAAGGATGTCAACCACAATAAGTCTTTTGTTATGATTTCTATACAAATATGACGCCATCTTGTGCCCTGGTTTAGACGCTGAGATTTTTTTTTGTTTAGTCAGAAAAAAAAAAACTATTCCCATTTCCATTAAAGTAGATATAGATTGATTTTAAAACTATTCCGTTTTATCTCAAAATCTTTCAGGATTCCTAAAAAAAAATCATGCTTATGTGTATAGAATGTTGTGCCTTGTATTAAGACGCTGTGTGTTTTCAATATTGTTATTTATAAAACATCTAGACCTTCCCACTGGAAATAAAGTGGATTCAAATTGTTTTTCAACTAAACTGATTTGATTTATTTAAAAATTCCAGTCAGAAAAGGTCACGATTTAAAAAAATCCTATATTCTCTATACAAGTCATTACAGTGATTTTCTACAAAAAATGGCCGACCTTCGCCTTCTTGTGTCTATACCTAAACCGACTCTGGGTATATTTTTACACTTGAAACCATTCCTTTGATTTAAAAACAGCATCAACACTTTTCTCTAGGTTTAATCTCATTGTATAGATTAAGTTTTCCTTGTATCACACTTTAAAAAAGGTTAAAATACTTATTTGATGTATTCAGGTGACCCGATTTTACCCCTTCGGTTCAACATCAATGCTTCTTTTCTAGACGACAGATAAATGTCATGCATCAAAAATACTATGAAATCATGCCTGAAACTTACCTTCATCTGATGGGTAAGATGTTTGAATGTATTTCTATTCCCATAATAAGTTATTCACTCCAATGTATAGTTTGTGAAGCACAAAATAACACAATTTGACGTCGCCATGATTTTTTTGGCTCTCGGTTTAGGGGTGCTCTCTTTTACGCTCGTGATGTGTGCATAAATACGGCAGCTTGCCAGAGCTCGGTGTCATTCTGTTAGTATCAGTTCTGCTGGCACCTTATCAGTATGGCTGAGGAAGACATTCCTAACTACTTTTTGGTTGATGGCGTTGAGGTCGTAAATGTCTGGATTGTGCGGGACATCAACACCGGGACGGAGTTAGCTCGCTGGCCGATAGCTACTCTGGGCCTAGCCAGTGACCTGTTGAACGGGATGGAAAGAAGAAGACGGCGACGACAAAGACATCGTAGAAGAAGACGAAGATCGCCGTCTACCAGTGAAGATGACCAGCCAAGGAGAAGGAGGAGGACAGATTCAGCACCACCATCTGCTTCGTATTCGGCCCCTCTGAGTAGTCCGGAACTACTCGAGGACGTCCCCAGAAGCCCGTCCCCTCCAAGAAGACCACCAACTCCTAGCTGGTCACCCAGTCATCCCCCGGGAGCATCTGCTGGACAGTGGGATTCCTCCGTAGATTCGGATTGGACCCCTTCCGTTAACAACGATTGGGCTGGACAGGGGGCTTCTTCATCCGTTGATTCGGATTGGTCCCCTCCCGTCAACGATGACTGGGCACCTTCCCCGGAACTGGCTAGACCACCACCACCACCTTCCCCGGAGCTGGCTAGACCACCACCACCCCCGACCCCGGAGATGTCACCAGGTGTGAGTACTACGGGGCCAATTCCTAGATGGGGGATTCAAGTCGCAGCAGCCAGGCTGGATTCCTGTGCAGTTTGCTTGGAGGAGGATCGCATGTCCAATTACATCTGCTGCCAGTGTCGCCGTCGACCGGCTTGTCTCGAGTGTTCAGCTGTGCTGGTACAGATGAACCAATGTTGCCCTCTGTGTAGACGCAGGCTTTCGAGATATGCAGCTCGCGGGCGAGGATTGAGACCCCCTCCTCCAAGACAGCCATCTCCACCCCGACCCGGAAGACCAGACTTTATGGAGCCGTTGACCGGTAACCAACGACCTCCCCTCTCAGACCGAACAGAGTTCCGCGGCAGAGGCGTAGGCAGAGGTAGAGGCAGGCCTCTCAGGGAGTAAACCCTTGATAAAAAAAATCAACCAACGGCCCTTTTAAGGGCCACTTTAATGATTCGAAAAGATACCTCTAATACATTCAAGGTTATAGAAAACGTATCAACGGCCCTTTTAAGGGCCACTTATTTGAATAGATACCTATCAACGGCCCTTTTAAGGGCCACTTATTTGAATAGATACCTATCAACGGCCCTTTTAAGGGCCACTTATTTGAATAGATACCTATACGAAAAGATACCTAACAACATTCAAGGTTATAGAAACGTATCAACGGCCCTTTTAAGGGCCACTTATTTTGAAAAGATACCTAACAACATTCAAGGTTATAGAAACGTATCAACGGCCCTTTTAAGGGCCACTTTAATGATTTGAATAGATACCTCTAAAACATTCAAGGTTATAGAAACTTATCAACACCAGGTCACTATTTTTTTTTTTTTTTTTTTTTTTTTTTTTTTTGTAAAACATGAATCTTTTTTTAAAATAAAATAACATAAACACATTTTTTATTTTTTATATAACACAATC